CCTGCTGTGCCTGGAACTTGCCATGCTAACTCTCAGTTTGAAATGCCATTGTTCTCCTTCATACCCCTCTTCTCCTTTCTGCCTAGCACATGTCTGCTCATATTTCAGGGCTCAGCTCAACCTTCTCATTCTTTGCAAGGTTTCATCTATCGTGTCCCTAGTCTCACCCCAGAAGTACTGACTACTTTCATTTTTGGGCTCCATCTCCACCTAATACTGTCAACATCGGGTCGACTCTCCTGGACTATAAACTCCTTGAAGACAGCATCTCTGTCACGTTCATCTCTGTATCTCTGGGTTCAGCTCACAGTAGGAAGAAAATAAATACCTACTGAATGAAGAATAAACAAATTAAAAATGGAGGCCATCCTGTGAACAAAGGCAAAATGAATATTATGATAGTGAAACAAATGTTGATCACAGTGGCATACAGAATCATTACCAAGGCCTGTCTGCAGATGGCTCTGCCATTTGTGAAGCCACCAAGTCTCATCTGCATTAGTAAACAAGTCAGGTAGGTATTCCTTAGAATATAAGCTGACTTTCAGGGACAGAAGATGGGGGTGGTGCCTCATATTGGCTTGCTTCCTTAGCAATTTGTGAAAACAAAACCCAGCAAAACAATTCACCCCTTTCCCAAAGTTGGCACTGTCTCAAGTTTTTCTCTTCCAAAATACTTTCTCTGGCCAGGCAACACTCCCCACGCGATAGCTGTTAGGCATTAGTGTGCTCTGAATCCTTTAGAGAAGGTCAGTCCTGAATACCAAACAGATGCAGAGCCCTGGAGTCTCACAACTGAAGTGCATAACAATAGCCATCTTCTTTGTTTGTGCTGTTCTAAGTTTCATCACAAACTGGCATATTTTAGACATGGGCCTTGAGTTATTCCAATTTCCACACCTGAAGTGAGGAACAGATAATGTGAGACAGAAAAATAATGCAGGAGAGGGTTTTAGCTTTATATGCTCATACACCCTCCTTGTTTTCCAACAAAAACAACTCTTTAAATCCAGTCAACCTCATGGAGACAGCAAGGGTACAACAGAGTGAGGATTTTTTTTTTAATAGCAAAACTTTTGTACTAATTAATGAAGTAGAGCAGAACCAAACCAAAACAACTAAAAAAACCCTCACTCCAGATTACCTATTTTTTTTTTTTTCAGATGGAAAGCCCTAGGCAGCAAGAGAGAAGAAAAAAATTGACCCATGCATTAAGTAGATTGGCTAGTTAATTTAGTGCAAGTGGAAACAGCCAAATAATATGAAGTTGTTATGGTAGAAAGTAGTGCTTTCACATTACTACCCAAACTTGTAAAAATACTCAGAGAGGCAGAAAGAAGGACTAAATTTAGACCCTGATTTAATGCATTCAAGAGCATGATTCATCTTCCCCTTGTCCTGGTATGGCCTAGGAATCATACCACATGCAACACACGAGTACCCTGTAAATAAAGAGTAGTCTGTAAATAAAGAGCCATTCATTCAGAGGCTCAAGGAGGCCAGGGACACCCCATTTTTTTTCCGCCAGCAAGGATATACTTCCAGGTACCCCACACATCGAAACAGAACCAGGTGTCTCAGCTGGCGAAAGGCCATCAAATTTTAGCTTTGTCCCGGCCTTGGCATGAATGTGCTGGAAATTTATTTTGCTGCTCTCTTCTCTGAGTGGCTTTTTCCCCCTCAGGCTCCAGTCGGATCCTGAGCAGCTCTCACTTTAATGAGATGCCCAAACGAATGTCATCATTTGGTAGCAATGCACTGAGCAACCTGCAGTCCGAGTTGCCTCACAGAGACCCACAGGTTGGGACTGGAGAGTTAGTATGTTATACAATAAACACCTGAGATAATTATGAGCCATTGAAAAAAACAAAACAAAATGAAAACCAACCAACCAACCAGGAACAGCAAGGTCAATTCCCAGGAGTTCATCAGATGCTGGACAAAGTGTCCAGACAGAGCCGACCCGGCTGTCCCTGCTGCAGTTTCACTATCTGCTGCTTCCAACCAGGTGTCTGCACTCACTTCTGCTCCCACGACCAGAGCAAATATTTCAGCCTGTGTGCCTAATTGAGATTAAAGCCAGACTATCGTTTGTGTTAACTCAATGTGGGTTAGAGGTTAAAAACACCTGTCATTTTGTGAGTATACAGTGACTCTAGTTTTTTTCTTTGTCTTTTAATCTGGAAGCACATTTGGAAAGTAACCTTATGAGTCTTATTCTAGCTTTTTTGGCCTTACTGATAGTCTCTGGGTTTAGGACAAATTACAAACATAAAATGTATATTAAAAAAATCTGTTGTTCAGTATCATTGCCTCCCAATGTGAGGGCATTAGAGCTGTCCCCCCTTCTGTGGTGTAAGACAGATGTTAAAAACCCAACCCTAGGACCCCATATATCCACAGACATTCATCCCAATCAGGGAAGATTATTTCTGAAAATATGAAATGGGTTCAGCAATTTTGCAGTTAAAAACAAAAAGATATAGAGCGCGTGCATTACGTCAGGAATGAGTTGCTCTGCAGCGTGTGTGAATGAGCAGCACTTGGAGCAGCCCACAGGGCACGTCACAGCACGGGCTTGGTAGACCCTGGGCAGGTGTGGGTCCAGGCAGATATGAGAGCCCATCAGCCTGAACACATGCTTCACAAATCAACCTGGCCACAGCACAGAAAAGAGGCAAGACACTGCAGGGCAGCACAAAGATTTGTACCTTTCTCAAACAGCTTGGTACTTGGGTCTCCTGGGCAGCTCTGAATGACCAGGTGGGGCAGTTACCCAATCCCACTTGGGCCCACCCAGTGCCATTGCATGAAAATCAAAACATTTAGAGAATAGGAATAGTCAATGACCTTGGCCAAATGTGACGGCATATTTGGGGGCATCCTTCTATAACCATTTGAGAAAGGACAAATATTCTTTAGCACTCCAGGCAGAAAACTGGCTGATTTAGCTTAGAACAGTGGCTACCACTGTAGCCAATTTCAGAACATCCAAAAGGAAGTGGTTGGGGAAGGTGTCATGAAGGTTGCATCCAAGGCTGGGTCAGTTACATACTGGGATGGGGTAGAACATTATTCTCGCACACGTAGAGCACCGCAGATCTAGTTACCAATGTGGGAAATCTGTTTTCATACTTCACTCACACAAAACAACTCTCTTCTTTCTCTAGGGGGTTTTCAAGTTCTAAACTACAATCAGCCCTTCTTTTAAAATAACAATAATAGATCCTTTTATTCAGCTGGATGGTGGTGTTTGTTGCACTAGGCTGGGTTCATAGTACAACATCAATAAATGGCCACTTGTAGAGGGACAGACAGAATCCCATTCATAAAACACACCTACGCCTTCCTCTTTCTCCCAACCCAAATGTTATATCATTAAAACACCCATGGGCACTTAATCTAATTTTGGGGAAAAAAATTAGAAAAGGCAAAATAATGTAAGTGGTAAAGCAATTTCTTGGGGGAAAATAGTACATTTAGTTTCTGAGGAGAATGATTGTTGGTAGGCGTTTTAAGTGTCGTTTTGTCTCAAGGAACCATTTGAAAGGAGGATTCCAAAAGAGCATCCCCCGTCCCTGCAAAGCTGTCTTGGTGAAGGCTGTACATTGTCAACCAAAGATATTTCATCTGGGAGAGGGAGTTAAAATTCTTCCTCAGTGAGTTGGCTAAGTCTTGTGAAATGAATATTTGTTCCAATTAGGTGTTCCAAAAAGCCTGCTTGCCTCAGATAACTCATTCTGGGAAGGAACGGATATTTGTTCAAAATTCACCATGGAAGGGAAAATGACGTAGTGGTAAGTTCTGTTTCCAGTGGACACGTGCTCTTCCTAGGCCTGCGACTCACAGTCCGGTGCTCTGTCCTTACCTGTCTGGTCTCAGTCCTACCTGGGACTGGTGGGGACGGAAGAGGGGGCTGACTAGTCTCTGCTCCCGCTCTTAATAAGCTGTACTACCTGGTTATGTAACCCTAATCCATGTCCACAGTCCAGGGCTCGGATGGCTGGCCTGTCAGCAAAAAATGTCTGAAAAACGTTAATTCAACAGTGTTGGAGGGATGTTATTTCTAGAGCTGAAGTCCTCAGGGAAAATGAGAAATAGTTGCTCTTGGGATTCAACTCCTCCATGCTGAAAGATATTTCTTTTCTGATGCTTTCTTCCCAAACAACTTCCCAATGCCTGGTATGCCCTGACATTTGGTCCAAATAAAATTCTGGAACTGATTCCTAGGATACAACTATCTTCACACTCTATGCAACAAGAGTGTTTATTACAGAAAATCAGTATCTATTGGGGCTTGAAACATTAGGGGCCTGCTACTGCTCTTGCTCACTCCCTACACTGAATCACTTCATTATATAGATACTATTTTATTTTTGGCATTTACAGCAAGCAACTCAGTTTATAACCTAAGGCATTTTCCGTACTTTCAGGCAATGAATACTAGCTTCTTTTGAGTCTCAAAAGCACATAATTTAAGACAGTAGGAAACAGAGCTGGAGAATAGTTTCCAGTGCAAGGAAAACACCATGCAGATGTTGGCCCTCACTCTTGAATTCTGATGGTGAAATTGAGAATTGTTTATTTGTTCTGAAGTCAAACCCAAGGAATTTATTTTTTACAGACTGGGGTAGGGGTGGGGCATAGTGATGTAATATATTACTAATATTGAAATAGTCAACACATGGCCCTAAGGGTTTAAATCCCTAAAGAATTTCAATCTTGTTGAAGGGTTTATTTCTTGATCAAATTTGGCATACCAGATGTTGATCTGTGTCACAGAAAAGACGTACCTGAGGAAACACCAGAGGACTGCTTTGCTATTGAAATTGCATATTCACTTTCTGTAATTGTTTTTTGTTCCTTCAAGATAACAAGCTAGGAATTGGTCCTCTATCTTGAGCCATTTATTGAGAACAAACAAATGAACTTGGAAAAGACATGACCCAATTGAAGTTAAATACCTGACTTTGGTGTATGAGAATCATAAACTTGCTTACGGTCTATCTGGTCCGCAAACACTTCCCCATAAATCATCCAATAGGGCATGTAGAAGATGTTCTTGGCCAATTTCCATGATGGCTCCTCATTGGGAAAGAGAATGGCTTGCCTGGCAACCCCAAAACTCATCAGCACCACCAGCATAATGATGACAAAGTACATCATGTCTATCATCTGGAAGGGTAGGAAGAGGGAGAAACAAAAGAAAATTCACATGATTGAGTGTCCCAATGACAATGACTTTGATGGAAACCTCTGAAGGAGGTTCGTGTTTGATAATGCTCATAAGGGATGTTTAGATAGGGAGCTGTGTCCCATAAGAGGATGCCTGGTCTATTGAAACCAATGTCCATGTAATCTTAGTAACTCAAAAATCATTTTAAAAAACCTCAAACATATGCCCAATGGAACCCCTTCAGTTCCATTGTCGTCTGTGGTCCCTGATCAAGACAAGACCTGGGAGTCAAATATTGTAAATACAGGAGTTTGGGTATCTATACAAATTTAGTACTAGCTTTTTCTCTGTTCCTGGGGGAGGCAAATTCCCTTCTTGGGTCTCTTTCCTCTTAGAAAAATTGGAATTGGGATAGTTTAACTATTTCAAGAACTATTGCAATGCCATAAATACTCTAAGTTCTGAAAAGCTAATGAGAAGGTGGAAAGCTCAAGAAAATAATCATTTGTAAACACGGCTCGGACAACAAACATCCAACATATGTCATGTTACCCTCGTGGCCTGGCTCATTGTGAGGTGTTCTACAACAAGCCAGTTTCATGGAGAGCCACTTTTTCTGCACTTTTTTCTCCTGCAGCATATCCTATCAGTTGTGAAGGGTGTTTGTTCTCGTAGGCATTAGAATCAGGTAGCCCCCTCCTGTGCTTACTGTTGAAAGGTTGGATTTTCATTCAGACATGTTTACAAAATTCTCTTGCCTGTAGTCAAGTACAACATCTTTTCTTGTGCCTCTTTTTTTTTTTTTTGCTCGTTTTCATGACCCATGTTATTTGGAATTTGTTTCTTATATGACATATTACTTTCTTTTTATCACCAAAATAGATAAGGATGTAATAACTATTATTTTACCTCATCAGAATCCATTGCTTCTTCTTTTATATACCATTCCCATCCATTTTGGACACAGAAGTAGGTATCTTTTCCTGGCAAGGGTGATCATGGTACCTCACCCTCTGGCAACAGCAGTGATAGGAGATAAGTATGTTATGCAAGAATCCAATGAGGACCTCTCCTTGGATACTTTTCAACTGAAGCTGGGAAAGAGATACTCTCTTTATCTCTCTGTAATGATGCTAATTCAGAGTGTGAGGCTACATGCCCCAATACTGATCAGAGTGAATGAAGCAGATATTGGAGAGAGAGAGAGAGAGAGCATGTCCTGACAGCGTTTGACAGCCTGACTGCAGTAGCCATTAAGGCCAGATGCATCATGCCCAGGTATAAATCAGTGCATCCCTCCTGGGCTTAAGCTAGTTGGAGATTAGTTTCTCTCCTTTGTATCAAACTTTCTAATACAGAAGAGTATCTCTTGGATACCAAACTTCCTGAAGGAATGTTCATCCACAAAGAAAGACCATTGATAATCTTATCAATGATAATAAAGACTTTCAATGGAATACATTACAAGGTGCCTGTTATTGGAATTTAAATATTTCAGTCTTCCTGTTTGCATTAGGATACTGGGGGCTCAGTATATTTTAAGTCAGTTTATTAACTCTCAAAGTAACTTCAAAATCCACCTCTCAAGGATTGTATGACTTTGAAATGAAATAAGAATCTCTCAAAATTTGACATTAAATTCATATTTGTTCACTCTCCTTAAAATATATACACTAGTTAATTAGTTATCTCTTTCACAAGTTAGTGTCCTCAAACTCTCATGATGAGCAAACCAGCTGCATTGAAACAGTTTTATGGGAAACACGGATCAGCTTCTCATCTCTGCTTTCTTTTTTATTTTGTAAAATTCTTTCATTATTTATTTACAAAAAGTTCTACCAATGAAGGAACACTAATGGATTTTTCATGTTATATTTATTTAGCTTGACTAAAAGGTGGTTGGGGAGAGGAAGGTGTGTACTCAGGAGATTTAGGGGCTAGTCTGACCCAAGAAAATTCAGCCAGTAAATACAGCAACTGTTCTAATTTCTCAGGACAGTTTTCATTCAGATTGTGACATTTGTCCGAAGGGTCAAAACAATCAAGGAGAAGAAACATTCTTCCCAAACACTCAATTTCATATATTTCAAAGACGTCTGCTTCTATTCAAATACCAAAATCTGATGGAGTGGAGTGCAGAAACAGAACATTATTAGTGAGGACTGGGGCTGGCTACATATGCTTTTAAAGCTAAATTGTCCAGCTGGTTCATTATTAAGACACCTGATTCTGTCTGATTCTTATAAAAATTCTTCATTGTGTTTTAGAGAGGAGTGCATATACTGTAGTGGTTAAGCATGTGCTCTCAGGTATCAGCTACCTGAGATTTTTCACCTTGGCCCTATTAGTAAAAAAACCTAGGTGGTTTTAGTCATATGTTTGGTTTTTTTTTTTCATTTTTGAAGTGGTAATAACAACAGTAATAATGCATATTATTTTGTAAGGATTAAACGACATAAAATATGAAATGCTTGATGTGGGTAGTTTTCAGTAAATGTTAATATATTATTGCCATGGGGGTTGGAAGAAGGGCAGGCTGTGGAGTCAAATAGATAGGAGTTTGAATCCTGCCTTTGTCCCTTGCCCAGTTTCAGTTTATTCTATCATTAAATGAAGACACTAAAACCTATTTCATGGGGTTGTAATGATGATGTCTGACATGGTGTTTGGCACATTATAAATGATAGCTATTGTTATTGTTGTTCTTATTCTGCCATATATAAGTGAGCTGTGCATAGGCTTAGAGAATGTCACTGAGAAGTGGTACCCTGGATTTATTTATTTATTATTAATTTTTTAAATATTTATTTATTTATTTTTAGAGAGGGAAGGGAGGGAGAAAGGGAGAGAGAGAGAAACATCAATGTACGGTTGCTGGGGGCCGTGGCCTGCAACCCAGGCATGTGCCCTGACTGGGAATCGAACCTGCAACACTTTGGTTCACAGCCCGAGCTCAATCCACTGAGCTACCCCAGCCAGGGCTGGATTTAAAGATCAACTGGAATCACACTTGATCAGTATTGTATTCAGGCATCTTAACAGCTGTCTGCCCCTAGACTACAGGACACAGTTACTTGCCAGTTTTCAGTACTGAACAGGCACTCTCTAATGTTGAGGGACTTTGAGTGCCATCACATCTGGGCATATTTTGTTGGGCTTCCAGCCTGGCAATCCATCTGCCTTCCTGATAAATTCTATAGGCATATATTTTACCTACCTTCTGCATCAGTGACTCAGTCATTGAACTAATTATCTTAACAACTCCAGTGAGAACAAAGCCTCCAAATACAGTCATTTTCTACTTATTCTTGACTGATAAGTAAAGTCATTCATAAGTTAGAAGGCAGAGTAAATGTAGTACATCTCTCTTGCTCACTGCAGAGTAAGGTTTAATTCTAATAAAAACTGGGGATAATTACACCATCATTAAAATGATAGGTGTGAATTTTAAAATAATCTTGCTGCTTTAGTTTGCCTTTAGTAATTTCAACTATTTAAATGCTGCCCAATCTTTTAAAAATAATATATTTGTATGGGTCTTTTAAGGTTTTATTTATTGAAATAAAATAAGGTAACAGTCAATTAGAATGAAACAGCCAATCAGATTATATAATCACTTAATGCAGTGGTTCTCAACACAGGGCAATTTTACACCCCCTACCCGCACCTGGGCACATAGGGCACTATCTGGAGACATTTTTATTTTGTGTGTGTTTGTGTGTGTGTATGTGTACATGCTACTGGCATCTAGTAGGTAGATGCTGATGCTAAGCATCCTACAATGCACAGGATAGCCACCCAGAACAAGAAAATCCATTGAACAATAGATTCCAAAGTATCCGCAGTGTCAAGATTGAGAAAACTTGGCCTAATTTTGCAGCTGTTACAGTTCTTCACTTTCACTGGGTCCATGTAAGAATCCATTTGAGAATCTCATGGAAGCTTCTCCTCCCTGTTCAGAAAATTCATATACCCACACATTTTTATATATAACCTGGCTGGAGGATTTTACAGATCCTGTCTTTTAAATGTCTTCCATAGACTCTAAGTTGAGACTCTCTGCTTTTAGACATAGGAATTTTCACCACAACTGCAAATTTATTATTAAAGTCCAAAGAAGACTGTATTGTAGGCAGTATAAGAGAGTAAGATGTTTTGTTTTTTTTCCTAATCCAAAGTCCTCATTTGAACTAGGAGTTGGTTTTGGGATTCAGTCTAACTCAAGCTTGTTTAATTTAAGTTTTTCCTCTCTAGAATAAGTTTGGGATATTTTCCCTAAATAATACTGGCATTATAAATAGCAAGCTTTTGTACAAAAGCATTAGGAATAGAGCAGAATAATTATGCTCACCAATTTCTCCTCTTATCATTGCATTTTAACAAACATGATATAAACATAATAAGAGATATAATTTATCAACCACCAGCTATAAGCCAGACACTACTGGCTATTTAACGTGTCATTTCTTATCATCACAACATCCTTACAAGATATGCATTTATTGGGATTACTTAAGAAATGAATAAACTGAGTTTCAAAGAAGTTAAATGAATTGCTAAAGGTCCCATAATCTATCATTTTGGATTCAAGTTCTCCCTCTCTTTGCACAAATTTGTCAGTGCTTTTGTAGGCCGAGTCTTGGTTCTTCAAGATTCATTTTAGTAGAGTCACACACACTCACACACTAGTAATAAATACTGATTTGTTGACTGAAAGGTAGGCAGCAATAACATATATAGTAAAACTTGAGGGAGAATGATAAAGAACATCTACTGATAAATTATTGGTTTCAAATGGAAGTGGCATAGAAGTTATTAACAAAGCGGTTTTTCAATAAGAGGTGTTTGCCATTGTAGGATGGATGACTTGGTTTTCCCACAAATGTCTGATAAAGGTGAAGTAGAGGATACACTCGTAAAAGTGGAAGAAAACTGATTTAAAAAGGACAGCCCAGACTCTGATTCCTCCTCTCGTGAGTTTGGGGATGAGCCAATTCAGATGGGCACTGCCAGGTCCACGCTAGTGCTGTCTCCTAGGGCTCGGTCCTCGTGGAGGAAGTCTGGACACCAGTGTCGTCCAGGAGCATTGGAACAGGTCCACAGCCATGTTGGGGAAGCATATTAGTTTGCCACGGGGGATTCCTTTTTAAAGAATAGGATAAGTAGGGCATCATCCTGGAACCTAGTTTTAAACAGACATCTTTTTCTTGTAGTAAAACAAAACACATGATATATTGATAGAACTTAATTCAAGTACAACCTAATAACTGAATTCAAATAAACTATGTTTTTCTTCCCTTTGTGTAGAGAAAGGCATTTTCCTAGCATTTCATTTAAAAAAAAAACCATGTTAAAAATCTGTTAAATATTTGGAGTGGTGACTTCTCCAAGATCCAGCAAAAATATAACCTCCATGTGGAACCTTCCCTGACCTACTTTCTCTTTGCTGTGTTCCTGTGGTACTTTATATACACGTCTATTACTGCACTCTCATGCTGTATGGTAATCATTTCTCTTTCTCTCATCTCTAGTCTATGGAATGAGCACCTTTATATACCCAACTCCTAGTCCAGTGCTTGGCACAAAGTATATGATCTTTATATATATTTTTAGTATGAAAATGGATGAGTGATGGCTAACTGTCCAGTTATATAGAGGTAGTCAAACTTCAGAACATTCAAAAGGAATTAAAAAATAAAACACCCCCAGGGCCCTCTCAGTTAGACCTTGATGGCAGCCTCAAACCATTTATTTCCCTCTTCCTATTGTTTCCATTCCTCCTCTAAGAACTTGTCACATGACATCGGAGAACCCTGCTTACCATTTTTCCAATCATCATTACGTAAGGGCCCAAGTACTTGTTCACGCCGAAGATGTCTAATAGACGGATGTACCAATAAATGATGTTCACACAATAGATGACCCTCCCATCGCTCCTGAAGGGCTGGTCTTGGAGACGAAGGATCATCCCAACGGAGAACAGAAGGATGGCTATGAGGTCTGTGACGTTCCAGTACTCCTGCAGCCACACCTTCACTTTCTGCAGTAACTTCCCTGGCTCTGACATCAGAATCTAAAAGGCAGGAAAGAGTGGGGGTTAGTTAGGATTTCCATCTATATTCTTAGCCAAGTTGGAAAGTGCTTGGTCTGTTAGCTGACATGGACAGCTTGTCTTGTCTGTCTGTGTCTACTTGAGTACTTGCATGCTCTAAATGTACAACTGAGCAAAACTTGGCCATCCAGATGCAAGTATTCCACAGGCAGATGTAAGTAGTAAGTTTGACCTTTTAGGTTGCCTTACAATTCTAAGACACAAATAAGGGCTTCCCTATAAAATTATTGATTCCTAATACCCTGTAAGTCTCTGCAATCCTCCCCCATCTCAGTAAACAGCACCACATATTGAGTTACCCAGACCACTAACTTGGGAGGACTCCTTTATTCTTCTCTTTCACATCCAGATACTCTGCAGCAATATGTCCTATCCCCTCTATTTCTAAATACAACCGGATCCAACCACTTCTCACCACCTCCACTGCTGCTACTCTGTTCTAAGCCCCATCGCATCTCCCAGGTGATGGCAATGAACTCTTCACTGGTACCCCTGCTGCTATTGTTGCCCGCTCTGGCCCCACCCAATCCCAGAGCAGCGTGCAGAGTCCTTAAAACTTAAGCCACACTCTGGGGGGTGAGTGCACAGTTGTATATGTAGGTAAAAACTCATCAAGCTGTATGTACCCTTATGAGTTGTGTATTTCCTTACAAGTAAATTATAACTTAATTAAAAAAAAAGAGTGACTTGAGAGATATATGAACAAGAACAATAAAAACCAAAGCAAGTTATGGTAATTGAATGCATCAATCTTCTAATAGCTTTCATTACAAATAGAGAAAGATCCAAACTCCTTATCGTGGCTTCATCTGATGTCCCACCATACTCTCTCCATTCCCCTGCCCCTGAAGCCACGGAGGTCTGCCTGCTCATAAGCTTGACAAATCCATCCTATGCTCAGGACATCTGCACTTGTTCCTTCCGTTGGGCCTTTTTTTTTCCCTCCCAGGTTTTTACATGTTTGGCTTCTTCTCATACTCAGGGTCTCCATTCACATTTCTCCTTTTTAGAAAGGTTTTCCTTGAATACCCGGCATGCAGCAGTCTCCGCAGCACAGGTCACTCTCTAATTTGTTTCCTTGTTTTATCTTTAGGAGATTTTTGTCTCTATATGAAATTAACTTCCGTGTGCTTGCATTGTATGTGTGTGTCTGTCTATCTATCTATCTTGTATCTCTGTATCTCTGTATCTCTGTATCTATCTATCTATCTATCTATCATCTCCCTCCGCTAGACTGTAAACTAGGAGGGCAGGCCCTGTTCCCCAGAGCCTGTCACATAATACTCAATAAATATTTGTTGACTGGCTGATTGTTGTATAGACATCTTACAGCAATTCTCCAGGCCCTTAACTGCTGGGCGGGCTCTGACTCACCTTACTCTATAGGTGCCTTTTTGCTCACACATGCTGTGTGAAACGCAGTTACACAGCAGAAGTTACCACCCACAAGGTACCGCAGCCTTCCCCAGGACACGAGGAGCCAGGGAAGCCACCCTCGGTGGCTATGCAGCAGGGCTCCTTGCATGAATCATTTGCATTTATCCCCAAGACTTCCCTCTCTTGGAGCTGTGACCCATCCTTTTCCCAACTCAGGACCTCTCAAAAGAAAGAGAAAAGACTGGGCACATGTTCTAATGTGCGGCTATGTGTTTGCATTGGCATACCAACCTTCAGGCTTACTTTGGCCTGAAACAATATGGAAGGGAGGTCTTAGTAAGTCAGGACTAGGGCGTGGCTGGCTAAGCAAGGTATCAGGAGATGCCTGGTAGCCTCTTTCCTAAGCCAGGGCTCTTTAGCCCTTAGCACACATTAGACTCATCTAGAGGGCCGGTAAACCACAGAAGGCTGAGCCCCACCGCCAGAGTTTCTGCTTCAGCTTGTCTGCTGTAGGCTTGAGGATTTACATTTCTAGCAAATTCCCAGGTCGTGCTGGTAATCACAAAGTGAGAACCACTGCCCCATCCGTCAGGGATTCCTGTAGCAGCTGGGGCCCTGATGGCTTCTCCCCACCAGCTCCATCCCAGCTAGGCAGAAATCTGTGTGTGCACATCGGGCGTGGGGGATGCAGCCAGGACTGAGCCCCTTAGAGGTTCTCTAAACCCTTGCCCACGCTCTCCTAAAACTGTTAAACACGGAGGTTTAAAGTATAATTTTTTCAATAGTGAAAATATGCTTGTGAAATCTCAACATACAAGAAGAGTTAAATGCTAATGGACTGGAGTGAAAAGTCAAGTGCCCACCCTCTGCCCCTTTCACTTAGCCCACCAGCTCGAGCACCTCTTAGGTCCCTGGGCTTGGACGAGCACCCCGATGTGGATCCCACTGTGGGAGTGAAAAGAACAATGCAGAGAGGGGCCAGTCAGGTTTAAGACCCAGTTCCCCTTTCTGGCTGGGGGATACAGAAAAAGGGCTCACCCCCCCGAGTCTCACTTCCCATATCAGCAAGGCCGGGAGGTCATAACAGCCACAGCATTAACCTCCCAGAGTCACGGGGAGGAGGGCCCAAGTGAGAGAACGTCTACCAGTGCATGCTGTAAACTGTTCCGTGCTATTAAGGGATTATGGCGTCTTGTTTGGGTGACTACACGCAGAAGTATGTGGTTCTGGGAATGGGAGGGCAGCATGTGAAACCACAATATCCCTCCTCAGAAGCCTACAAACTTTTCCATGTTTCCAGGATCTTGTGACTGGGATCTTGGGGGCCTGTGTGCTGACTACAAGGAGGCATGAAGGTGAGACCTATGGAGTCTCCACTCCCTTGGCAGTCGAGCATTTCTCTAATGGGTTCTGGGCCACGGGGTGGGGGTGAGGGAGCTGCCTCACCAGGCTGAAGAGGAAAAGGTCAGATGCTAAAGTGGTCAGTGCCTCCCTCCTCACAGCTTCCTCAGAAGCAAGGACTCTTCCGCTGACTCCCTGCTGACCCCAGCCTCTAAGCCCTCTCTGCTATTACATGCTACCTCAGGAGAAATGGATATCCAGGCCTTGAGGTTCCTGGCAGCCCGCCTGCTTGGCAGCCTCTTCCAGAACAGTCTGTGGAGTACAGACTGCTCCCTGTCTTCTTCCAGTCTAGTCCCTGGAGAGATTCCAATCTCCCTGCTCAAGTCTTTCCCTTTTCTGCTTATCGTGGGGACAAAATATGCATCTGGGCGTTAAATCACCAGAGAGCGAGCTGACACTTCGCAGCAACAGAGCTCTTAGCAGGAGCAGGCCTCAGTTAGTTCTCAGAGAGGTGCACAAAGACCAAAGCAGATTGATGACTGATTTCAATTTACAAATGGGAAATCCACAAACTGGTCAGGAAGTAGAAGGCACCGTCACCTGGTTAGAATGAGACAAGAAGGCCCTTTTTTTGTTTTTAAATAAATCTAGTCCCTTATAAAATGGGAGCAGGGTACCAACAACCAAACTCTTAGGATGGGGGTATGTTGTTTAGAATTTAAATATCTCTAAAGCAGTTTAAAAATCCAAGAGAAAGAGCCTGAAATATATAGACAGAGTGTGGCAAAAGTTGGTTTATAGTTGTTTGTGTGGAAAATAATATAATATTAATAAATAATAATACAAGAATAAGTCTGTGTTTTGCATACAAACAAAGGCATCAAATAGTTACATCTTTCTAAAGGAGAACTTTCTAGAGCTAAAACCTAAGGTAGCAAGGGCTTTTTAACTGTTTTAGTGTGAAGACAAGGGTGAATTTGTGGATTTCAAGGAATTTTTTTCTGTGGAGTCTGACATTATTTTCCCACTCACTGTAGTAGAGAGAGTAGGGTTGTTCAGGAGCTCTAGAGGGTGCAGTAGACTCGACGGGGAGCAATTCTTCCAGAAGCGGCCTCTGCTGCAGACTGTAGTTTCAGGGGACAATGCAGAGGAATCGTCATACCCACAAGCCGCCTTCCCTACAGGCTCGGGAATGGGAGTCTGTGGAATGTGTTCAGCAGGGTGGCAGAGCCCTCTGGCGGACAGTTGCTCGACTGCATTCATTTTGGTGGCTCTGACTCTGATGGCCTCTGAGGTTAGTGATGACTTTAAGTGTCATGCTGGGGTGGTGTTATGATGGCTTTTACTCAGTGCGGGAGGGGGAGAAGAGAAAGAGCCACACCTTCAACCCGAAGGATGAGAAATATGCTCAGTTCATCCTGGTGATGCCCAGGGCTAGTGGAAAGGCTGGTGCCCAGCCAGTGCATAATAAATATGGAGCAGAGAGTGAATGAAAGCATGGCTCCTCCTGGAGCTGCGAAGTGCATTGGAGAATCATAGGTATTGGTGGACCCTGTCCAAAGAGATCCAGAGTGAGGGGTTTGCAATGGGAATTAAAAGTAGAAAAATTTAAAGATGAAAAAAAGTGTAAAATGTAAAGTCATGTTTCTAGGGATGAGTTAAAAAGTTGTAAACAGTGTTTTATAAACAACTTGAAGATTTCTTGGAGCAAGAGCTTTGTGAGCAGAAAATGGACTAAATTCTAAGCACTCATGGAGTGATGACCCTGTAAACCCACTGCAAAGCAACCCCAGGTATGTTAGCAGCTCTCAAGGCCAAGGCCATATTTCTGTGGTAGCATTAGGGAACATTTTCACTACTGGTTTGGATACAAGTGGATCTCGAGTGTCGAGCTCTCCCCTCCATGAACAAATGAACTAGCCACTGTCTTTCTTTTCAGTTCTCTTTTATGAAAGTGGTTACCTCTCTCATCTTCTCTATCCCCAGGGTGAAAATGTAGGAAATGACGATCCATTCTTGGGTGGAAGGCCAGCGCTCCATCTTCACTAACACGATATAGTTGAAGAGCATCAGGTATCCGATGTACGCCAGCTGTAAGGAAACACAATACAGTGCTCTGGCTGCAAAGGCCCGGGAGCCCTGCCCTTGGGCAAGGCCCCCAGGCAGGAGGGCACAAACAAGGGCAGCAAGCAGAACTCGGAACTCATGACGAAATGAACTCCAAAGCTCTAAACTAGCAAAAGGATAGAAACTGTAATATTTGAAGTAACTTGATATACAATCTCCATTTTGACTCTTATACTTGTCTCCAGGCCCTAGGACTTTGCTTGCACCCAGAGGTCACGATGTATCATTTTGTTTTGCATCTATCCAGTCTCTCGTGTCTTCTTGGCTAACGAGGGAACCTCTTCTCGCAGGGGCTGCTCTTGCTTGTGCAGGAGCCTCAGGTTCTTGAACTAGGGCAGCACAGAGGATTTTTGCCTGACGGATGCCAGGTGGATTAAATGTCAGTAAGAAAGAAAAGAAGACACTTGCTATACTTGTAAATTGGTCAAACCAACATAAAAATAGCCCAGACTTTATCTGGAAGCCCCACTTTAATTCTCTTCTGAGTTAATGTCTTTTTTCTCTCTCCTGCCTTAATGTGTTGGTCTGACAGTGCCCTGGCAGGGTTTCACCTGTCTCCCATTGCACCACTTGCTGTCTTATTCCACTCGGCATATTCCATCCTGGTTTCTGCTTCTTTGAAACAAAACCAGAGAAAACCGAGCAATTTATGGAAAGAAATGGCTGACTGTGTGGCCATTGTGTGTGGCTGGCTATAGTTTGGAGTGGGGTTTAATCTTCATGAGACTCCAGCACCAGAGGCTGAACCCTATTGGAACTGGCTGAATCTCTCGCTGGGTGTCTCTGGAAAACACAGGGCTCGGGTTTGGTGACTGTCACTGGAGGATTCAGTTATGTCTAAGGTGAGTGGAGTGTAGGAGGGCTGGTGAGGTTCTTGCATAAGAGCCCCAAGGAGTCTCTGGAGGAAAACCTCACCTCCGGGAAAGTGGCATATAATTTAAACCTTATCTAGGCAATGCTTCAAGTTGAGTAAGGCACTAGCTGGCTTTAGCAGCCTCAGGCACTGTGAGTAGGAACTAAGAGTGAGTCTACTCAAATCTTTTGTGCTCTTTGGAGCCTGCATAACAAATAGGACACAGAGTGGGCAAAGGATTGAGGCCTTGAGGGTTCTGGAGACACACCTTGACTCTGGGGCCCTGGGGGCAGCTTAGAAGGTGGAGGTGAAGCACTGTGGCTGGGAGATACAAAGGGAAACTGGCAGCCTGCAGAGCTACAGAAATGCTGCCCTTCTTTCTTTTTCTCTCCCCTCCCCCCTCACTTCCCCCACCTGCCTTTTCTTTCTTCCTTCCTTCTTCTGTAAATGCATAGATTCTTAATATGAGTCAAAACTATTTTCTGAGACCTTACTATGTTGACACATTTATAGACACAGCCATCTCTTGAAGAGTGAACATTTAAGCAGGAGTTGACGAGATCACAGACAGAAGCAGGAGAGCAGTTGTGTAGATGCTGGAGGGCGGAAGGGCTGGGTCCCCACGGGAGAGGTTTGCTCTGGTACACCCACCCCTCAGAGACTGTCATTATAATTCCTGCCTCATTTCCTACCCCTTCCCTTCAGGGTCATTAGCACATCATGAAAACCTCACCTGAAGAGTGTACTATACCTGAAATCACATAAGATGCTGTTTAAAAGGGACTTTGGTTCTTATGTTTCCTGTTTACCATTATATACTGGCATTATTCCTATACTCTCAGCCTCCTTCTGACCTGAAATCCCTCTCCCTTTCTGGGTGCTTCCTTCTCTTTGTTGGATCCTATCCTATTGCTTCTAGGTGAAAGGAATCTTGTCAACTGCCCTAGTTTTTATCGTTTCACCCAATTCATTGCAAAACATTCCAAAGCATTATCCTCTCTTGTTGCAGGTAGGCCCAGTGACACACACACACACACACACACACACACACACACACACACACACACACTTTCAGAACCTCTGAATTTTAGTACAGGCCTACGATCGGAGATGTTGCGGGTTTGGTTCCAGACTGCTGCAAGAAAGTGAGGATCACAATAAAGCGAGTCCTAATCTTTATGCTGGGGAAGGGGGTCTTACCTTCAGTTTGTAAAAGACCCAGAATCTGTGAAGCACAATAAAGCTAAGCATAAGAAAACGAAGTGTGCCTGTAACTCCTCCGACCTGCCTCTGTTCTTTGAATACAGGTCTGGTGTATGTGGTGGAAGGAATAGTGTCTGGTGAAAGGAACATGGATTTAAATCCTATCTCAAGTACTTGCTGGCTGAAAATTTTGTGTACTTCACTGCACCGGCTTGGATCTCCATTCTGTGAAATGGAGGTGATTGCTATTGGCCTTATAGAGCTTTGGGAAGGATTGGGGTACTGGCGAGGGGATGTATATTTATCTCCCGACACTGGAGAAGTCCAATGAATGGTGGCTGACAATATTATTTGCCTTTTTTTGTCAAGAAACTTTTATTCCTCTTGCCTTCTCTCACCTCAGTCTGTGCTTCCTTTTGATCCTGCTAACTACTCCTACCTCTCTTTTTTCCTTGTAAAAACTGCCCTCATTATTGTTTCTGCTTCTTCCATGAGCACTGTTTAACTCCTGCCTGTTCTTTAAATCACACTTACCCTACAATGGTTTTCTTCCCATATTGAGCCATGATATGATATGATATGATATGATATAATATTTTGGGCCAACTCTCAAAATATGGACCCCCACAGCTAGGGCTTTAAACACGTTTGGATGGCACAACAGAGGCGGGGCTGCTGTGCTGGGAGCAACCTATCTCAGAACTTGCTGACATTCATGGGGCTCAGCTGAAGGTTACTTTAGCGTGACATACTTTCATGGTGTGTGTGTGTGTATTCACACACATATATATGCTGTGAGCTTTAACAAGCTGGATGTAGAATGTCAAAGCTTTGAAAAGAAATATAACCTTATGATTCTTATTTAAGTCAGTGGGAATCCTATAAGAATTTGTACTTTATATGCTTATATATTCCTCTTATAAATTTTCCATTAACCAAGATGCATGGCTCCAAAATTCTGAAATGCAAGCACCAAAGCCTGCAGCTGCTTGTGGATCCCTGGTGGGGCTGTGTCCTTCCTTACTGCCTTTTCCTACTGCCCCTAGAGAGTGGAGGGTGGCACATGGTGTTAGCAGAGAAAGGAGTCTGTCCCTGCTGACCAGAGCACACACCCTGCCCTCCAACCTGGCACCACTTCACACTTTGAACTTGCATCCTCTCCAGCTGGGTACTTGAAATGAGCCCCCATCACAAACATGGCCTGGGAGCCAGTTGTATCCCTGCCTCCTTTCCTCTTGCAACAGAAGAGGACCCAACCTGCTCCTCTGGAAACTTGCTATGACATAGAAGTGAGGTTATGTGCAAGTGAGGTGTGTCCTACTTTCACAATCTTGAGAGTATAGGAGATACTTTTGGAAGTAAGAGTGGGAAACACTCTTCCAGAGAAGAATACAGCCAAAAGCAAATGGCATCTTTGATCTACAGCTGAGTTTTATGGTGCTTCATCTCTGGAGAGTTGAAAGGTTGGCACTCTCCATCTCTATTCACTTCCTTGAGGTTGGGCTTTGTCCATACATAAATATGGATTTCTGAAAATCTTGTAAACAGCATTGCCCATGACTAGAGCATCCAGTCTGATGGGATTTCTGAGGCTAATCCAACCCGCCATGCAGAAGGGAGCAGATACTCGCTCCCCACTTCCCAGAAAGGCAGCTTCACCACCAGCCGCCTATGATACAAGGAGAGCAGTGCCTCCCAAACTTTCCGGGGCCACAGCACTCCCCTTAAACTTGTTAAGCAGACAGCTTCACAGGCTCCTCTCCCTTGATTTAGTGGATCAATGATGGGGCCAGGAATTTGCTTGTCCCTTATCATTATGGAAGTGTGGGAAACTCTGGGCTAGAAGCTCAGCCCTTTGTCTGGGGTAGGAGGGTCAGTTCTGGCTGCTCACTACAACTGCCTGCAGGCTTGGAAATATCCTGATACCCAGGCTGTGCCCCATACCAATGACATCAGAATTTTGTCAATGTGTAGCCAGGGCTGAGAACCATTGGCTAGGGCAGTTGTAATTGAAAAATATTCTTGGCTAACAATTTGCCTCAGCTGAAAAAATGGGGACTAGAGTAATCAAGGAACTAAATTGGATCCAACATAGATCCAGAAAAACAGACAAATGCCTTGGGAGGATACGAGAAGCGAGTACTTCTCATAAAGGAGATAGATAATTTTTCTCCTGGCTTGTTTTACACTCTCAATCAGGCACCTGCACACGTACTTTATAAAGGGCCAGATAATTCATTTTTAAGGCTCTGCTGGCCAGATGGGCTCCAATGCAAGTAATGTACTCAACGGTTGTGGTGTAGGAGCAGCCAGGATGTAGGTAAGGGGGTGAATTTGGCTGTGTTTCACTAAAACTTTTGTATAATGGAAGTTTCTCATAATTTTTATGTGTCACCAAGTATTCTTCCTTTGGTTTTATTTCAACCCTTTAAAGATGTAAGTCCATTCTTCGCTCCCAGGCCATTGCGATAGGCAGTGGCTGGAGTGGGCCCGTGGGTCCTCGTTTGCCAAGCCCTGTTCTAGGTGAGACACTTGGGGCAGCCCTGGTCTAAGAGGAAGGACAGACCTGAGTATAAAATGCAGTAAAAATATTGCATTGATTAAACCGTTAGATTAGGGAAAGTATATATAAACACCTAGAACGGTGCCTCGGGGCAAGCATTCAATAAATGATATTTTATCATTTATTGATAAAAACCTTATAAAATAGGTACTGTTATTGCCCCCATCTTAAGAAAACTGGGGACGGAGCACTGAAGTAACTTGCTTGAAGTTACAAGTTACTTTACTAAGAGACATAGACAGGATTTCCACTCAGGTTCTGTGACTCCAGAGTCCATGCTTATCACTACTAAGTTGTTTACTGCAAGGTAAAAATAATATACAGTTGTATACAACATAGGAATAGAAATAATTTTTGCATGCCTTCATTATTCTTTTTTGAGGGAGAATTTTTTTTATTGTTGACACTATTACAGATGCCCTCCATTGTTCCACCTCTGCTCCCCTCCACCCAGTCCCTGCTCCCCACTCTGGGTCTTCACTACATTGTTGTCTGTATCCATGGGCTATTCCTATATGCAGGTATGTTATTTGGCTAATCTCTTCTAGTCCTCCTCACCCACCTCCCATCTGAGATCTGTCAGTCTGTTCCATGTATCCATGTCTCTGATTTTATTTTATTCATTCATTAGATTCCACATATGAATGAGATCATATGGTTATTTGTGGTATTTGTCTTTCTTGGACTGACTTACTTCACTTAGCATAATTATCTGCAGGTCCATTCATGCCATTGCAAAGGAGAACAGCCCCTTCTTTTTAACAGCTGTGTAGTATTTCATGGTGTAAATGTATAACATCTTTTTTATCCACTCATCTACTGATGGACATTTGGGCTATTTCTAGACCTTGGCTATTGTAAATAATGCTGCTATCAACATAAGGGTTCATATATTCTTTCCAATTGGTGTTTCAGGATTCTTAGGGTATATTCCCAGAAGTGGGATTGCTGGGAAAAACAAGGGAGAACTTTTTTAACATTAATAAATTTAAATTTTACTTCACTAAAAACACCCTAATCTTTATATCTTGATAATATCGCATCCTCTCTCAAGACCATACTTTATAGCAGTGATTTTCAACTGGTGGCAATTTCACCCTACAAGGGGACATCTGGCAATGTCTGGAGACACTTTGGTTGTCATAGTTGGGGCATGAACAGTGCTACTGTCATCTAGTGGAGAGGGGTCAGGGATGCTGCTAAATGTGCCACTACAGTATGCAGGACAGTCCTCCTTAACAAAAATTCACACTGCCCAAATGTCCTCAGTGCTGAGGAAGCCTCGTTTAAAGCCAGCATTCAGCGTTAGATACAGGACCACATAAAAAGCACCTCATCTGGGCACTTGGGTCACTGCCACCTCAGACTTGGGTAATCCTGTTGCTGACTCAGGTGGCTGGTGTGTAGCTGGTTATGAGAAAGGCCAAAGGGGAAGATGCACCATCCTTCATCTGGCACAGTTCCACTGTGGCTGGAGAGAAGCAGAGATGACCTGGGCCACAGCTCACCCTAAACGTCAAACATCATTGGAAAGCAGAAGGAGAAACCCAACAGTTGAGTCATTTCTACCACACCAGAAGGCTATTTCAGGGACCATCTTTCTCTTGTGGACCACAGATGTTTTTAGGGTGTGCTTACTGAACATTATTTGCCACGATTATAGTTTGCTCCAAGTAGTTTCTGCTGCTTTGTTTGCATGTGAACTGTGTCAGGGCAAGAAAATGGCATCACCAGATCGGGAGTATAACACACTAACTCCACCCATCTTTAGTAGTGTTAGTGCTAACACTCTGCTCAGCTCGTACCTAGCACTGTGCCCCTGAACCCAGCGCCGGCATCTAAAACAGGCAGCTGTGATCCAGCGCTCATCCATCCAGAGCAGGGAAGTGTTTTTGTAAAATGACATCTATTTTCCTGCGTACTCATCTCACCTCTATTTCTGTTAATTCTCACTTTAACTATTTCCTTTATTTTCTGTGAGGAGGGGAAATGTAGAAGCTACGGAAGCTACCTCACACACTCCACAACTCTTTCTAAGCTACTGGAAAAAGCAAGGTCGCTGTAGGGCTTTTGTTTCTACCTGTGTGGCCCTTACGTTACGAATCGTGGAGGATACCACCCAGGTGCATGGGAAACTAACATCGGCTCTTCGAGGCCATCCATTAGGAGGAAGGAAAGGGAAGATACTTACAGTGTAGAACCAGAACTTCACGATGGGTGCATTGTAGAATTCATAGATTTTTCTGCCCAAGGGGATTAACCGGTGCCTGCTCTGAACTTCTTCTTCATCCTTCTTCCTGGAAGATTCTCCATGGTTTCGTCCCAACATTGCCTACAGTGAAGGAGAGTTAATACCATCACGGCAGGGCTCTGGAGATCATGGGGTTCAGTGTGTTCGTGTACAAAGGAGGAAAACTTGATCATAGAAACTTAATGCTTTGCCCAAAGCCGTGAGAGATTGATTTAGAGGTTGTGCCTTCCCTGTGCATTTGCATTTTACATAGAATCTGTGTACCTTTGCCTGGGATGCAAGCCCTTAGGGATATTTCTTGACTTTTCTGGTCTCTTCCACCCTGAGGACCTCTGGAAGATGTGAGTGATAGAAGTTACACAAAATTCTGAGAGGGAGAAAGAGTGTTGTCTGGGAAGGCCATGACTCTCCCCATGTTTACCATGAAACAGGAAGATCTGGGCTTAAATTATGTCTTCACTCATGCTAGTAGACTCTTAAGTCAAAGGTAAATTGGACCACTAACATGTAACTTATTCAAAGGTTACGAGTATTCAAGAGGTTAGGTAATGAAGTGCCTGGAGCTTAGTCTGGTTAGAAACGTCTCCCCAACCCTTTGGTGTATGCCTTCGTTCCCTGATTTCAAACACTGTGGAACCCAAGTTACTGCTGGTGTTCGTTTCATGGCAGCTCCTGAGTACATTGCCTTCCTCTGCATGGCAGAGTCAACCAGGTGAGGTGAGGAGAAGTCAGGCCTAAGCCAGAGAGGCCCTTATCTCAAGCTGCTGAAGATTTCCTTAACAATGGAATTACTTCCCTCTCACTCACAACAATAGCAGTGGCAACAACAACAATAATGATTAAACATTGCAGAACAGGAAGAATTTGAGAAAAAATAGAGACATTCTGTCTGGATGGCAAGTGACAGGATGCTGTACAGATGGTGAAGGTCCTAATGGTGAAGAGTTCCAGGCTTTGGGTCCCTCAGAAGGAGGATCGAGTCCTAACTTGGACCCTAAGAATCCATGACACCTAGGACAAGTCTTTTAACTCCCCTAGTTTCTTTGTCTGTAGAATGAGGGTAATACTAACACCTGCTAGAGAGTTGGTCTACAACCCACAAATCTGGCATTTAGTAAGTGCTCAGTGAGCATTGCAATAGCCAGCCTTTAAAGTGATCCGAGACTCTTGAACATGTTGACTGAAATGATCTAGTTGTACCTCTCATCAGAAAAACTGTGTGTTATTAGGCACTGGTTACAGTATAAGTTCTTGGCTTTAATTTTTTCATATCATTCAGAGACAAGGTTAGTTCTACAATGCTGGGGAAATAAAATTTTCATTAAAGGTGAGAATAGGATAAAACCTTTTAACTGCTTAGAGACTTAAAGATTTGGGGCAAGAAAAAGCACTGGGAATACAGGTTTGGAGTTGAGAAATCTAAGTATAGAAATAGCTTAAGGTTATCTTGAAGTTGAGAACATAGACAACCACTAGTGAGTAGATGATTCTGGTTTCAAACCACCTTACATGAAATAAAAATATTAGTTTCAACTGTTTTTGTCATTGCCTCAAATACGCACTTCACTTGCCTATGTAACATAACCATCACAAATGATTTACCTGTGACCAATAGGACTTCTGGAGAAGGTAACTTCCATTCCTTTATAGACTCTTTAGCTAGAGAAGTACCTTGAGATGATGAATAGGTAACATTCTCTACTATGGCCTATTTAGGTGTAGATTTTGATCAGTAAGATGAACCAATCTTTGTGATGGATATAGCAAACTAGAAAGCAATAAATTATTGATCATTGTTGACTCCAAGAAACTCTGAGGTTATATATTTGTCCCTCTATAATTTATAATTTAGTAACATAAACACAACAATCCTCCTCCTGTTGGCTTTTTATGGGCTCAACAATACGATGCCATTTGAGGACAGGATGAGATGACAGAAAAGGCAGCTTGGAGGGTTTAGGCCTCTGGGAAAGTGGTAGTTTCAGGTAACCCCAAGTGGCTTTCCCTACAGAGTCATAACAATGCCCCGGGCCTGTGCACATGTTGGGACTTTCTTAAGCAAAATGCAAGACATTTATATGACAATGCAGGTTAAACAATAACAAAAATACAACAACCTGTTTTGTCTCTGCTATTCAGATATATTCTAAAGTGAGTGCATTTTAAACTGCTTGTCTTTCATGGGTTTAAGTAAAGCATTTTTGATATTTTATTAATTCCAGCTTAAGCAGCTTAAGTTGCTGATTTTGCTGATTTCTCTCCCCAGCAGTCAAGCATTTCCTTTGCTTACATTCCTTAAAGCAGAATGTAGCAGGGTCAAATACAGACAAAACTGCACAATATAAATTTGAAAAATTTTTGCTGCTTGAACACAGATGTTGTCTGAACTAAGCTATTAATTGCTACTAAAATGAAGTGAACCGAGGCTGATGTTTTGTGTATAATTTTGGAAGGACCAAGAGAAAATGTCCCATTCCAAGAGAGGAAATAGTGGTTGTACACAGAAGCTCAAATATTGATCTTATAAAAAGCTGCATTCTCCAATCCTGTCCATGGTGAGCCAATATCAGGGCTCGAGCAGTGACAATATTTGTCGTTAGTATCAAGGGAAGCCCCACCTTGAGGACAACTGCTGTCCAGCAATGACTCTGCCAGCCCACAAATCCCTTCCTTCCTTTCTTTCTCCCTGCTGCTCCCGCCCGCCCGTGGGGAAGCTCAGGCAGAAGTGCTGTTTTGGTGTCTTCTTGGGTTCTCAATGAACAACTGCAGAATCTGTTCTCTGGGAAGCAGACTTTGCTCTCAGTGCAGAGATGCATCTTTACTGTGGCTTCTTGAAGGATCAGTCCTTAAAGCTGTGTATGTGGAGCTGGAGAAGGGAGCTGCCTTCTTTGTTTTCTTTCTTGACATGCAAGCAGAAAGAATACTGCCTTTGGCTTCTGACTACTTTCCTAAAGTCCTTCCTGAGTCTTCCTAGAAGTATGCCAATGTCAGGGCCATGTTGTACTTGGCATAGGAGTCCCATGCATCACTTTTGGATTCTCACTGCTACATGGTAGAACAAACCAGCTGGTGGCATACATTTGAGACTAGGAAAAAAAATTAGCATCCCTTAGCTATCAGCTAAGAGCACGGCCAAGGGAATCTCTATGCCTGGGTTATAATGCCAGCTTTATAATTAATTAGCTGGTAATCTTGGGCAATTCAACTTCTCTGACACTCAGCTTCCTCATCTGTAAAATAGGATAAATAATATCAGCTACCCATGACAGTGTTGCAAGGATTCCATGATTAAGTGCATGTGAAGCATTTAGCGCTGTTGCAACAATATGAGTGAACGCCAATCAAGGCTTACTACATGCTAGATGCCAGACTACATAGTGCACACGTACACTTTTTATATGGTTTGCATGTACCCGTAAGCTATTATTCCCATGTTAGAGGTTAAGAAACGGTGCCTGCAGTTCTACAGTGAGGACGGGGTGGGGCAGGATTCTGTGTCCAGAGCACACACTCTTTACCCCTCTGTTGAAGTAGCCAATAGAGAGCCTGTAGTACTAGTACAATGTCTCTGCTAATAATCAAAACACTTTCTCTCCATGAAGGGGTGCACAGGTCAAAATTATGGTAAGATCTTTAGGGAAGGCAGTCCCCCCACCATAGAGGGAAGTAGAGACTCCATCAATTTTTATAAATTGAAACTAAAAGTAAACATTGGCTTTAAACTCAGTGAGTCAATAGCTATGAATGATCAATCCATTAAAAGTGTGGCCCAATGCATATACCTTCCACTACACAGGCCTGAAATTGTGCATGAAAACATATCTTTAGAAAGGGCCTATTGGAAGGAAATACTGTTTATTTGGAGGAAAAACAATTCACAGAGTGGTCCCCCTAGGATAATAATGCAAAGGCATTTTGTCACCTGAGCTAAATCAATTTTGGTTTTCTCCCCTTACAGCTTCACTGGGTCATCACAGTCATTGGTCAGAGTGCCGGGGAAGGTGGGGCATAGCAGTGAGATCCTATGGAGTTATTGCTTGATGTCGCCAAAGCTGTGAAGCCTTGTTTGTCCCTTTAACAGCATGTGGTATTTTTAGATCTTGGGTACAATCCAGTGGCAGTCACGCTGCTCAGGCGGGGGTTGCAGGACGCTGTCGCATGCCCAGCTGCCCCATTCCCTCTGCAGAACAAAGCATCCACGCTCTATAATTATACCAGGAAGAGCTAATATAAGCCTTCCATACAAACCTCAAAATTCAATTAGTCCTGCATTGTGAGCCTGACCCCGAAGACAGATAAAGGCTTAGCTTCTGATCAGCAGAACAGTTCCAGCTCAGCGAAGCCGGCTGCTCCCCAGTCACGAACTCCCTTTCCTTCTTTGTGTGCTAAGGCCACCACATCCCCTGGTTGTTTAGGAAGCACTGCCTGTTTGGAAAATTTATGGTGTCTTGCTTTTGAATTTCATTGGGTTGTCCGGCACCACTGCCCCTGGCTGAAAACTTTCACGCAGAATTAGTTCCTGAGGTCGTATTATTTGTGTGCATAGAGGAGGCACAAATGAAAGCACCTGGTAAAGGGCTAACCTCAAGAGTTACCTGAATCTTAAGCCATATAGCCGGGACAAGGGGGCCAGGGATGCTCCCCATGGGCAGTAACTGAGTAGTATTTGCTTACTGTCAGTTCCATATCTTCTTCGTCTTTTTCTTTTGTGGGCTTTTCTGGTTCTTCTGGCTCCTTCTCTTGGAGATGGATTTCCTGGGCCTGAGTCATATAGGGCATGTCGTCTTTGTTCTTGAACTCCAAGCTGAGAATTGAAGGAGGAAGTAGAATTCCCAGAATTACCTAAAGTAATAATAATGATAATAATAATAATCACATTTAAAGGGTTAAGATCAGAAGGGTTGCTTAGACTCAGAGGGCCTGGGGGTATGGGGTGTGAGTGTGCATGAGTGTGTGTGTGTCTGACTGAGGACTTGCCTATCTGAATAACCATGCACATTGATGCTACAAGAGTCATTTCTGTCCACCCGGGAGCTACTCTGCACCCACTGCAAGCTTCTTTGCCATAAATATCTTTGCCCCAAGCATCTTCACTGTAAAACTAATTGGCGGCAAGGCAATTTTGTTGTAAAAGATAGGATAACTGGTTGACCATTTGGGTCGACAGTGCGCTTCCATTTTTACGTTCCATAAATCATAGCCCTCATAATGTTCTATAGTACAGTATGAGTAGACGTGGTGGTCTTAAAACAGTGAATGATAACTATGTATATTGACTTGATAGAAAATATGGTGGTAAAACTTACTGAAAATGTGAAACAAGAGAGTGTAAAGTCAGATTTCATGCTGTACCAGGATATGATAACTGATTTATCAGTTCACAAGTCTTTTGGTAATTTGAAGGCACAGAGTTGAACCTACATTTCGCACTGAACTTTGGAACATCTACTGATAGACATGTGACAATATGCCAAGACTAAAAACAACAGTTGAGAAGCTCAGCTCAAAAGAGGAGACAAATCAACTAGCAAAAAGTGTGTGCTTAAGTCCAATCCACGAAACAAAATCAGTTATTTGCACAGTATTGACATGAATCTACACACATTTTAATGAATTCAAATATTTTGTACTTTGCAATAGTCTCAATTTTGTTATGAAGATGAATTTCACTATGTCCTTTTTAGTGCCCCCTTTTATTTTTAATTGTTTTATCTTTTAGGGAAAAATCACCTTATACCCAATTAGTTTTGTGGAGAATATGTTTGTAGCAAAGAAGCTCATTGCTAAAACACCTGGAATTGTCATGCACAGTAGCTCAGTCTGACTTTGGAGGAACAAAACATCTTACCCAAATATATATTGCCCATGTAACACTCACTTTGTATGGGGAAACTGAGGAGAAAGAGAGATGCTGCCCAAGGCAAAAGTGGGACAGAACTGAGATTCCCATTTAACCATTCAATAGCACTTGACCTGGTGAAATCAATTCACGTGTATGTCGACTGGCATTTATTTGCTAATATGTCAAATGGAGTTAATTGTATCATCTGGTTATCTCTAAAAAATGCTGTCCTAAGTTGACCTTGAGAAAGTCCATGAAACAAAGTATGTTATTCATTTTAGAGCTTTCTCCTGACACTTACTACTGTCCAACAGAAACACACACGTACCCACCCCAGCGGGCTCTGCATCCCCCATGACCAGCCCCTGTTCTAATACCCCAGGTGGGTCTAGCACTGGATTTCTCCCATGCATAAACAACATGCTTAAACATCCATATGATGACACTAAATGCACGGGCCTTTTTCACAAGAGGCAACCTCATTCCCTGTGTGCCAGGGAACAAATGCATTTCTGAATGATAACACTGACATCTGACTTGTGTTCCCTAAATCTCTCACCCCTTCCCTCAATCCTAAAACGGTTCTGCTGCACAAGGCTCCAGAATATGAACCAAGGCGAATGGCCAAGAGGATCCTGAAGGGTAAGTAAAAATGATTCTCAAATAATGCATCAGGGACAGCCTGTGCTCAAATCCCACAGGGACTTTGGAGCAGCCAAAGGAAAAGAAAGAGTGGTGACCCTGAACTCAGGGTGTCTGGCAGCCTGGGAAAGCTCAGGTGGCATGCTGGCAGCCTTCAGGGGACATGACACCCTGTCCTTGGAGCTGAGAGCCAGGCTTGGCGGTCACTCACAGCACAGCTATGAAACACCCATGAGCCACTTCATGGAAAGCTTCTGTGACTCTGGGCCAAGAGCCCATGGAAGGGTGAGTTGGTGGAGAAGAGGAGGGTGCTGGTTTAGTCAGGGTGGCCTCAGCTATTGCTCTGGTCTCATGGCCCTTCTGCTTTGGGCTGCTCTCAGAGTCCCCTAGATCAGGTAGTTCCAGCTAAATAGGAGCCTGGTTTCACTGTAACAACCACAAGCTCTAAACAGAGAAACCATTTTAACATATTCTTTTAATCTCCCCCCTCCCACTTTTACTATCTTTCTTTTCCTTTTTTCAGTTTAACGTTTCCTTTGAAAACCATTACGAAAACATAAAAGAACAAAGCCACCCATCATCCTTGTTATACTTCAACACTAGAGGTAACACTGTGTTTCTTTTAAAAAAATTAATCTAGATAGCTATAACTATACATGTACATACTTAAAAAGACAAAAATGGACTTAGGTAATATATTGATATGCAACTTGTTTTTCTTCACTTAAGAATGGATCAAGAATATCTAACGCTATCTTTACATGAATCTATCTCACTGTTATCTGAGTTTAAAAAATTTCTCAAGAGTTGCTGAATGAAGAGCCAATGTCTCTTTATCACATGGTACAGAGCAGGCTGGGGTATTCCGTCTCCCTTAGCAGTGACTCCTCGTATAGCATAGCTGGTGTCAGAGCAAATGGTACTCCTGTGGTACCTGAGTGTGGCTATTACTTTTGGATTTTCTGAAAAATATTAATGTTTAAGTACCATCTCTGTTGATTTAGCAGAATTGAGGGAAGGTCTTAGCCTCTATATGAAAAATAAAGAACCCAAACTCCACTATACAGAAGATCCTGATGCCCAGTTGGGGTTCAGAGTCACCCTCCTGAGACAGGAGAATGCCTAATCCCACTGCACATTTAGTTTGGAAAACTCCAACCAAACGTCTGATGCTCACAGTGAGTAGGGCCTTCTGGGTGCACTGACCTTGAGGCCTGAGTTTTTACGCATCCGCAGCCGGCCCATCCACATGTCTGTGAGCAACATCTGGCTGCACGTATGTGCAATGAAGTCACGGTGCTTGGCAGCCACAGCGAGCTGCAGGCACGTGGCATTGCTCCAGTTCTTTAGCTCATACGTCAGCAGTTTCATGGCCAGCTGCTCATCCTGCTTGTAGGACTGGTCCAGGAGCTCCACAGCCAGCTGACCAAAGTCCCTGAAAAAGAAAATATCAAGAGTCCTCTTTTGGCCATTTTGGAGACCCACTGGTGAACCAAAAGAGGCAGGTTCTGAGGGGTCTAGTTGTTTCTTACAGGGTCTACTCTCTTCATTCGTTCATTCATTCATTCATCCAGCCAACATTCATTAAACATTTCTATGTACCAGGCACCATGTTTAGAACTAGTGGTGTAAGTCAAATAAGGCATGATACCTGCACTCAAGGCCCTCAATTCAAGGTATATGGATGGAGACCACAGACCAGTAAGTTAATGATTATGGTGCTACATGTCTGTCTCCTTAAATGTGACAGACCTCCATTCAAATCTGAGCCTTGCCAACCACAAGTGTTCGACCTTGGACAAGTTGTTTAAATGTTAAGTCTCATTTCCTTTAGTTGTAAAATAGCCACAAGAGGATCATCTCTTGGTATTTTTGCTGTCAGTATTTTTGCTGCACAACAGTTTGACTATAAGGCAATTTCACCATAAAAGATAAAATAACAGGTTGACAGTTTGGTTTACAGACTTAATTTATTTAATCTAGTTGTCAGTTTGGCTTCATTTCTCCATGGAGGAAGTTCTCGCACTTACTTTCTTTTGTGTGTTATGTAAGTCTTAGCCCTCATAATGGTCTGTACAATGATTAGTAGACATGGTGTTCTTGAAATAGTGAATGGTGACAACTACATATGAAGCCAGGTTGAGTGCTCTACTAGAAAATGGTAACACATCAGTTTGCAAATCATTCATCTGGCATTCATCAAAACCAAAAGTTTACCAAGCAATGGCAAATATAAAAGAAAAGTATAATGCTATGAATGAAAGACTTCAAAGACAATGCAGTTTTTTTTTTAAGATTTTATTTATTTCTTTTTAGAGAGGGGAAGGAGGGAGAAAGAGAGGGAGAGAGGAACATCAATGTGTGGTTGCTGGGGGCCGTGGCCTGCAACCCAGGCATGTGCCCTGACTGGGAATTAAACCTGTGACACTTTGGTTTGCAGCCCACACTCAATCCACTGAGCTATGCCAGCCAGGGCTGAAATACAGTTTTTAAATTTTGTTTTTAATTTTTCATGTTCCATTGTGTTCTTTGTAATGTCTTTAATTTATTTTTGTTATCTTTTATGGCAAAATTGCTTTACAGCCAATTAGTTATATGGTGAAAACGCTCGCAGCAAAGATGTTCACAGTAAACCTGCTTACAGAGAAAATACCAGACGTGTTGGGGCGCTGGAAATGCAGAAATGCAATCTTCTGTATATGTACGTACCTCCACATCTAGAGCTATGCGCCATAAACAGAGATTCTTCACATCTACCCTCCCTGTGCACCATGGGGGTGATACTACCTCACCTTAAAGTTTTAGGTAGCTCAGACCCTCCACACAGTATTTGGGGCCTACCTTCCCTCCCCTGATCACCCCATTTTCTGGGCTAGCCAACCTGGAATTGTGGTTCAGCTCCTGGGAGATGTCATCGACCATATCGTTCTCAGAAGCCTCGTGAGCCATGGCTTTGCAGAGCTTACAGGCCACCAGGGCCTTGGCCATGGCCTCCTCGCCGTGCTGCCAGAAGAACAAGGCCATCTTCTGTCGCTTCATCAGCACGGCCCACACCATCAGCTCGTGGAAGGGGAAAGGGAAGTGGTTGATCTCAGGATCGTCCAAGTCGATGTCTACCTCTTCCTCACGCTTCTTGGTTGTCTTTCTTCCTCGTCTCAAGGGAACATCATCCTGCAATTTTAGGGGGGAAAAACATAGAGGTGGAGTTAGAAACGAATCAATTAAATTCAGCAAACAGATATTTTACTATTGGCCTAACTCTGACAGGTACATAAATGAACTATAGTCATAAATTATTTGATTGTGTTTCACTTTATTGTACTTCATAGATGTTGTATTTTTTACAAGTGAAAGGCAAAACCCTTCACCAGCAAAAAGATGATGACTTCTTTATTGCAGTGGTCTGGAACCAAACCTGCGATAGCTCTGAGGTATACATGCCTGTATCCCATCCCAGCTCCAATCCTAAAAGACCTCACAAGCTCACACATGCCTAATTTTAAAATAAGTTAGAATAGCATAAGCACAGTTTTATAGGACTATATCATTGTTATACTTTAATTTTTAAAAAGTATTTTTAATGGGCCATCTTCTTCTTCTTTTTTACTTTTGTCCATTTTTCCCCTCTGCAGGTAGGGTTATTGGTCTCTCATGATGGACAGCACTTTGCTTTTCTCTCAAAGGATAAGGACATCCTGCACTTGCATTTGTATGTGCAGCAGTAACCGCATTAACACAAGATGGGGAGAAGGTAATCTGTCTCGAGTTTCTGCCCAAACCTCATTAGATGCATGTGTGAAATGGTTCTGACCTTTGGATTTGCAGCACTTCTAAACACCCATGAATATATTTTGCTTACTGGAAAATATATGCTTCCTTGGTTTTCAAGTTTGCATTTCAAATAGGATTTATTTCCTTGTTTGCAATGCTAGTGTAACCTCATGGTGAAATTTTCAAAGCAACTGTGCCCTGTTCCCTCAATACTGGGAAAAGTTTTACTTCCTTATTTTAGAATCATGTCCCAAGCCCTATAGTCCCTGAAATGAACTTATATATATATTTGAAATGTACAGAAGAATAGAATAATTGACACTAATAATTTGTGCAAACACTTACCTCCATTCCCAGTAGTTTCAAGGCTTTGGGCTGTTAAAAAAAATTTCATGCACCAAGTTAGATCTTTCTTTATAGATATAAGAAAAGAAGCCTACTTTATTTTAAACAGATAATGAAACAATTCCATTTACCATATAGCATTTATTTATTTCACTAAATAAAATACCACAAAGGAAACTTATTTATAGAAATCCTTAGAAAATTAGGGATTTAGTGATTTTGGTGAATCATAGAAAATTAGAAAACTTGAAAAGCATAATGTGATTGCTTAGGGGTGGAGCCTGCAGGTTTATCAATTCTTTTGTGGACCAAAATTTCTTCCATCTTCCTAGAACTGTCCTGCTTGGGCATCTCTATGACCTCAAGCATTTTAGTGAACAATGGAACATTTCAATAAAAACCATGAGATGTTCCTCAAACCTCTGAAAGACCTCTGTTACCTGGAGACTTGGGATATTATTCAGGAGTATAAGTTTAGATGCACTGGCCATCTCTCTAGGCTGCTGTCCAGTAGAGCAAGGGTGAGTGGGGCCAGGAGTCACATGTTGATGGTGCCAAAGGCACTCAGTGGCATTGGAAGTGTCAGCACATACAGAAGCATCATTGGTGATGCTGGGGGTGTGCAAAGTAGGCACAGACAGAGATGGACAGAGAAGCAACTCAGCCATTTATAGAAACTTGACTTATATTTAACAAGGGGGGATATAAAGTTACATCTCAAGGGCCAGGAATTCCAATTCTATGTTTTAAGTATTACAAAATGGTTGGGTGCCATCTTGAAAGTTAGATGAGTAAAAAAGAAGATTACAGCACTTACAGTCCTTCCAAGTTTTATTTGACCATACCAGGAGGAGTTGCTATACCTCGTCTTTCTCCCTTTCTCCTGCTTTTAGCTTTCATAATGACCACCAGTTTGGAAGATGCGATTTTTTAAAATTTACACTTTTTTAGTGTTTTCATATTTCTTTTCCAACACCACAAAATGCTTGAATAAGCAGAAGATAAGCTTTGGTAAAAATAAAAATCATGCCCACCACCAGCTACAACAGCAGTTCTCAAAATGTTGTCCAAGGACCATGCGGCCCATTCTGGGGGTGGGTGGGTATGGTGGTGTCTTTCCTGAGACCCTCCTAGGGGGCTGGGAAGTCAAAGCTATTTTCGCAATAACACTAAGATGTTAGTCAATATTGACACTGTATTAATATTTGCACCGATGGTGCCGAAGCAATGGTGGCTGAAACTGCTGGGTGTCTTACCAACAATGATGGCTGTGGTACCAGACTTTACTAGTTATCATTACATTTCACTGTTATATACTCAAAGTTTAAAACAAAACAAAGCAGTTTCTCTTGAGAACGTGCTTGATGGAGCCTAAAAAATTATGTTTATTAAATCTCTACTCCTGCTAGTAAAAAAAAAATGTCTATTTTCTATTCTGAGGGGTGAAGTGGGAACTCTGCATTAAGCACTTCTGCTATGCTGGACTAGGACAGGTGTCCTGAGGAAAGACACTTACAGGGTTGTTGCACTGAATTGCGGTCACTCTGTTTCATGAATGACTGTGCGAAGGAATGGCAGGTGGACAACTACAGTTCTTTAGACTTGAATGGCAGACATTTGGCAAGTGAATGAAGTAGGACTGTCATTTCAAGGAAAACAACTCACAGTATTGATTGTCAATGACAAAATTTAAATTTTCAAGCAAAACCCAGAATCTTGGAAAAGGAGTCCTCCCCCACCTTATGATCTTGACAATTTTTTAGGACTTAAAGGTTATTCTGATGAGATTGGAAGTGATAATGAATGAAAACTTTTGAACTTGTATAATAAAAATATGCCAGCATTTGGAAGATCTGCACATAACTCAACAAACCAGTATTTTACAATGGCCAATCTATGATGTTAAAAGATTCATACAAATTGAAATTTGGATTTTAATGTAACAGGATGAAAAGTTCTCTGACATGGTTTCAGATTTTATGTTGCAACTAATCTTCAAGAAATTGCGTCTTGTTGAATTTTGATGTACCAAAATAGGACATCTACAAATATCTGTAAAGATTTTTTTTTTAATTAAAGATTTTGTTTATTTATTTTTAGGGAGAGGGGAAAGGAGGGAGGAAGAAAGGGAGAGAAACATCCATGTGTGCGAGTAACATCAATCAGATGCCTCTTGTGCACCCCCAGCGGGGGACCTGGCCTGCAACCCAGACTTGTGCCCTGGCGGGGAATCGGACCAGTCACCTTTCTCTTTGTGGGATGATGCCCAACCAACTGAGCCACATTGGTCAAGGGCTACTTCTTCCTTTTTTGATATCTGTGTCATATTTAACACATTTTGTGACAGATTTTCTTCCTATATTTCAACCAAAACAACATCTTGCAACAGGCTGAGTGCAGAAGTAGGTAAGAGGATCTAGCTGTCTTCTATTAAGCCAGACATTACAGAAACTTACATGCTACTACTCATCACTCATTTTTGTTTTTGAAAACATAGTAGTTTTTTATAAACAGGTTATCTCCATTAATATGTAATGAGTGGACTTCCTATGGTCACCTTAAAATGAATTAATAAAGCCCTGGCTGGCGTAGCTCAGTGGACTGAGCACAGGCTGCGAACCAAAGCATTACAGGTTCGATTCCCAGTCAGGGCACATGCTTGGGTTGCAGGCCACAGCCCCCAGCAACTGCACATTGATGTTTCTCTCTCTCTTTTTCCCTCCCTTCCCTCTCTAAAAATAAATAAATAAAATCTTAAAAAAATGAATTAGTAATTATTTTAAAAAGTTTCAGCTTTAATTTCCAGCATGATAACTACTGATAGCACTCAACATAGACGAAAGCTTTTGGAATCCTCAATAATTTTTAAAGGTTTAAATAGATCCTCAGACCCAAAACCTTGAAAACTGTTGAGGTACATAAGATTAATTTGAATTTCGTTGCTATTCTGTGATCTTTAAGGCTCACTGTCAGTGCCAGTTTTTTATTTGAATTGGACCCCGAGAGGAAAAGAAAGGAGTGTATTATCACTGAATACATATCTTTTTCTTTCGTTTCTTTTCTTTTGCTTTTTTTTAAACGGATTTGATGGCAGAGGGAAGAGGTGGAGCAGTTGCTTCTCATCTGATCTCCCACTGAGAGAGAAGGAAGCCACACCCCAAAACCCTCCCACTCGAATCTTCCCAGAAGTCAGGAAACAGGATTTGCCTCAAGCCTCACCCTCTTGGGGCCGAAGAGATTGTGGTAGAGCGTCCGGAAGCGCTTGCGTGTGTAGTTGCAGCGATAAGCGCCGCCCATCAGGTACTCGATCACCAGGCCGATGTCGATCAGGCTGATTCTGTAGTCTGGGGGCAGGTTCCCCTATCAGGGAAGAACGAACAAACATCCAAAAGACAGCGTGATTTACTAGGGATTCTAGTCCATGTGCTCTGTAACTATTTTAGAGTAAAACAAAAATTAAAAAAGAAACGTATGAATGTATTATTATACTGGTTAATTAATTCACCTTAAAATAGATCCAACCGAAACCTGGATATTCTCGCTTGGAAAGAAGACATAAGTTAAATAAGAAGATGCAGTAATCGTCGGCAATAACAGAAAATCAAAATATTTATTCAAGTCTTCAGCTGAGGAGAAAAAAACACCAGTGTAGCAGAAAGAAACACAAGGCTAGACAAGGCAAATGCTACCGCTCCCAGACGCTGGGAACGCGGTTCCCCCAAAGTCCCCAGGCCCCTCGCTGCTCTGCCTCTGACCCAGGCCTGTTACTACCCTCTTGCTGATCATTTACTTCTTCACACCCACTAGATGAAGACTCCTTCCAGAAGGTGATTGTTACTACCAGGGCTTGCACTAGGTGGAGTATGCATAGAGTTCAGATCTCTTTTAACACCAAAGTTCTATTAACAAAAAACATTTGGCACCTTTTTATAAAAGGAGAGCAGGGTGGATGTCATTATGAAGTCTCCTCCTTGTGTCAAAGGAGAAAGCAGGGAGGAATAGCTTTATATTTTTAATTGTTTTATTTATCTTTGTATTCCCAGTGCCTTTTATAAGTGCCTGGTGTGTATGGTAGGCATGCAAAATGCTTTGTGTGGTTGTTCTTGAAAATGTGAATGAGTAAAACAGTGCCATGAACTGATGTGGTGGGATCTAGTCTCAGTTTGGGTATCTTTTAGTGTTATGTTCTCAATAAGAGAAGTAACTAGCCACAGTGTGTGAATTACCCCTGTTTGGGAAAGCCTCACTTGACTGCAGAAATTCGACTTGAAATATGTGTCTTGATGTATCTGCACTGGCAGGAATGGGTGGATAGCAACTGAAGCAACAGCCCAAGTGGATGAGATCGCAGTGCCACTCTCAAGTTTCTTGCTGAGTGTAGACTTAGTTCCCAGCCTGCTGGTAGCAATGTACCTCTCCCTTAACTTGGGCATAAGGTGGGCTTGGGGACCTAATCTGAGTTGGCTGAGCAAAGTGGGACTTTGTGAAGGGCAGCCTAGATAAGATAGAAGCACTTTGAGGCCCAGCACCCCTCCCATCCTTGACCTTGGCCCATTCCATTAGCTGAATTGTCCCTTCACAAAAATTGTCTCTGTTCCTCCCCATCTCTTGGAATTTCAGAATTTTGGGATTTCCTTTGTTTGAAGACTATCTCATCAATCTAACTAAATTGTCAAGCTATCCTCAGGCTGTTAAGAAAGACCAATAGTCTCACTTTTTATGCAAAGCATGGCAAAAATATAAAAAAGGAAACTTAGAGAAGGTTTTATCTGAAGATTGTAACTTTTCAGGTATTGCTCTTTCCATAAACATTAAACTGAGGTTAAAAATATTACCCGTGCACTGATTTTTCTCCATTATTTTGGGACAGGTTAACGAGGCTGCAGTTTCTGTATGGTCTGGCTCTACCAGACGGTGAAGCAGCTCTGGCATTTCAAAAGCAGAAGAGCCCCAGAGCAGACACTCCCGAGTCAGCCTAGTCTCCTTTGCAAGGGGTTCCTACAAGAATGATCCCCAGAAGGCCCACCCCACCTGTGCTGTTTTCCTTGGCGTTATGTAGAGGGCAGGAGTGTGGTATGAGTCAGCTGCCCTGGGCTTCTTTCTGTCTGTCCTTAACCAATCAGCCACTTTCCCTCAACACCTCAGTATTTTTTCCTAGTAAAAAGGGTTGAACTTCATGGCCTCTGTGATCTGCAATGTACCAGGTTTCAAAAAAGATCCCCAAACGATTTATTGTGATGGCTGTTGAAAGGTAGTCATAGTGAGTCTATGAATTTGTGCCTATTTTTAATCTTGTAAAAATTTTCTAAATTTGAAACATGGGTAATATCAACACCTATATATCTTCTTTAGAGAAATGTATATGCAAACATGAGTTTGAATTCTAAGAACAAGAACCAATATTGCCTGAAGACCAATATTGAATGGCAATATTTATACATTTGAGATGTCTGTAAGAGTGAGGGTTGTCAGGAAAGTGGTAATAGTAAAATTCAAAATAAATAAAATTTAAGAGGGACAAATAAAACATTTTTTGCAAACGACTTTATTCATAAAGGGGTCTTAGGTTTATAGACTACCAAAGAAGGTGAGAACATTTTTTTTAGAAACTTCTCATATAAAGCTTGATTCTTTCAGAGTGATGTATGACCTGATCAGAATGAGGAGAAAGGATTCAGAGACTCCTGGGTTCTACCCAACTTTCAGTGAAGGCCTGAAGCCGGAGGGGTGGGTAGGGGGAAGCCTGCATTCTGATTGACCACAAGGTGGCGATGTTCACCTAACCAAAGCCAATGAGGGTTCCTTCCTCATCAGCATTTGCCTGCCTGCTATTTTGTGTAATAAGGTGATGTAAGGAATGCAAAGCAGGTTGGAGGATTTGGCGATAAGGAGAGAATCAGATGCTTTGGTAGTGATATCAGGAGGAGAGAAAGCTTACTTTACCAGGTAACGTGTTTGAACTCAGTCTGCAAGACTGACAGGAGCTGGTGTTTTTTTCAGAAGCAGAGAAAACAGGGGAAATTAGTTTCACAATTTTTACTGGGAAGAGGGGCAACCTTTTGAGGAAGATGAAATAGATTTCATAAAATAAAAACATTGTCATAACTGCGTCCTGGGTGAACTCTGAAGGGGATGGCAGCATCAGTGCCTGTCTGAGCCGATGGCCTTGGCCACCTGTGGCATGCAGGTGTAACAGATGTGCAGAGAACAGTCAGGAATGTGATCCTGCAGTAGGAATAGCACTGGGCCAGACTGTGGGCCTGGCCAGATCACACCCTTTCTCTGTACCTCAGTTTACATGTTGATAACAGGCAGTTTGAACACAGTTTCTTCTAAAGTCTTGTCTATTTCCAAAGGTCTGATTGACTACTACATGGCAGACTGCTGTTATGTTTATGCTGCTGGGTCACTGGGCAAGGACTCTTGTCCAGAGCTTCCAGGGTTGATAGGGTTTCCACTAATCCCCTGAAATTGGTTAGCAGAGCTGCAGGCTTAGAGACAAGGGGTGGGTAAGGGATGGACAGGGATGGGGCTGTGCTCACCACCTCACCCACCTCCTCTGGAAAAAGCAGAGAACATGAACAGCACCTCACGTGCCACAGGTAATGTCCAAAAACCTTCTGGAGGAGTCTGACTTTGCTTGGGTCCTTTGCTTGACTTTACATAGAAAGTCAACAGTGATACTGGTGTGCTAATCCTTCTGCTTGCTGTTTCTGTTATTCCCCCTCCCCTTTTTGTAATTACTTTGGTAACTGGTAATGCCTGAACACTTATTTCCCATTTCAGGCCTTAACAACACAAGGCACGCCACGTGACTTAAATAATTTGATCCACAGAATGAAACGGAGAAGCGTGGGTCTAGAGATAGGTATGACTTGGTAACGTGAAAATGTCGTCTCGTTTTTTCAATATGAGCCACTACTCTGAAGCTAAGTTTTAAGCCATGCCATACCTAAGCATAACTATTAATAAAAAGAATTGTTTAAATTTACTTAGATCTTCTCTTCTAAATGAACTCTGTTTTTCAGATGTCAGCTTATGATATCACTATAAGATTTCAGCTGTGTAGGAGACATTTTTTTTCTTGGAAACTAATAACAAGCCTCCAAAACAAGATTGTTTCCTCCTGATGCATGTTAGGTGGAAATGATAGCCAGTTGTCAGATTTACCAAGGAGGAGTAGGGACAAGGCTATTCTGGTGAAAGTTTATGGAAAAAAGAGGAGTACATTTCTCCAGTGTTTGCTGCAGTAATAGCCTGGGTAACTAATCTTATAAAAAATAAGACTGCTTTTGTAAATTTGCATGAATTTAGCAGATGGGATTATAAAATGTTCTTTCTTTACCCAAAGTGTGTCTGAAATGCTTTTCATTCTGTAAAGCTCTGAGTCTTGATTCCCATGTGAATGAATTTTAAACTATAATAATTTCACACTACTTCTATATAAAACTTAAACATCATACTCCTTTGGTGGGGGGGATAATATAGGTAGTCTGAAGTATTAACACATTTAATTTTCACTACTACTTTAAAACATACAGAGGCACAAATTGAGCAGACAGTTAGCTACTAAAATGGCAAGTTAGAGTTCACGAAAAAGCAGACAGACTCAGGCCACTCTGGTTTAATAAGAGAGCACTTGGTACATCCAATGGATTTATGCATGAAAACAGTTCAGGGAATTTGGTTGGCTTCTATCATTTTAAATTTCTAATCGATGCTGAATAACAACTCTTTACTTCATTGCTCCTAGATTGTTCCCTTGGTTTAAATAACTTGAGATTTTGAAACTGGTTGGGAGAAATTCTCCACAGTCAACTCTGTTGATTCCAAAGGACAGGTGGACTTGCTGATGTCACACTGGTTAACTCACGGTCTGCTAATTCTGAAATGCATTCCCTGGGTTTGTAAGGTTTACTTATGTTTCATTTACAGACATATTCTCAAACACTATGTTCAAGGTCCAGAACTGTGTTCATAACTCATGAATGGCATCTTGTACCAGGGTTTATCACCTACTGATTAATTTTTTGCCACATGTTAAATCAGTTAATACGTACATAAAGTCCTATAATCATAAAGCACAAAGTACCTGCTAATTATCATGTTCCTTAATTTTTGACAATTGCTTAACCTGTTCAAAATTTTCTTAGCAATATAAACCTAGTTTGTGTAGACTTTGAGTATCTTATTGGCTCCTGGAAGTTTTCTGGAAACTTCCTACCTGAGGGAAATGTGCACCAATAGTAATTTCTGTGTCATTCACTTCTTAAAAAAAACAACAAAACAACCCCCCTCATTTTTCAGCTTCCTCTGTCCACGTGACAACATGTAGACACTTCCGTCTCCTTCAGCTGCCATTGCTATTCTTTGCTCTCTAGTCATCACATGCCCATCGTTACCACAGAAATGGAGTCTGCATTTCCTGCTCCTACTCCCAAGGGAAGAAGCTAAACATAGGTTTCCTGATTCTCTCCACTTTACTGGCAGTCTCCATTGCCAGGTTAAAAAGATAAATTGTTCCTAAGCCAGTTCAGTACTTTCCTGGGTGTTCTGTTATCATTTTTTCCCAGTTACCAAATTAGTAAGTAGATGAATTCTTATGTAACTATATACCCTTGCTCTAGTATTTGGATAGCACTGAAAGAAAAATGAAACTGCACCTCACTAACCCTCCTGCCTTCCAAATTCTTACCAGTTTGTTCTTTCTTGTGAGTTATTATTCTTGAGGTACATCCTTAGCTAATAAGTTTTTAAAAAACCCTACCTTAAAATACTCTACATGCCTTTCAATACAAGTGACATGAACAAATGCAAGAGGCAGCTAATGGGATTTTGGAAAAGAGAAAGTGATATTGCAAAGCAGAGTCTGGCAAGGAAGAAAACCTACGAGGAGGGGTTCTGATCATTTGTACTCAGTAAAATCTAACTACAAAATCCCTTTGAAACTCATGCGAGACGTTGAGAAGCTGAGTCATGGAGGTGGATGAGCGACTTTATTTGAAGGTCGGGTTGACCAACAGCTAGGACTGAGGAACAGAGGCACAGGTGTCTCTTCAGAGAGCCTCCTAATTCCTTCAGTGACACAGAGTAGCTTAAGGCAAGGGGGACAATATCTTATTATTTTAGAAACATCTCAAAACATTTTATTGAACGCGAGCAACAAATATTTTGGCAAAGAATACACATCGACTGTGTACACAGTCTTTTGGGATACTGCCCCCTGTTTAGTTTCTAGGCAATTTCCAGCCAGGATAAATAGAACAAAATGAGAAGACCTGAGGGAAAGAGAAATGGGTTTGTGGAGGGCAGGTGTGTTTACGGCTTGAAATGGGGTGGGCCAGGGAGAGAAGTGATTTTGGTAAAAGAGTAGTTGGGTCCAACTGGTTCATAGGTACCAGGTGATAACCATAAAAATACAGGCAGTGGCATAAATTCACACATTATAAGCAGCCCCTGGGCCTTTGCTTGGTCTTTTGAAGGAAATGAAAAAGAGGCTACCAGACATCGATGCATCAGTTCTAGCCAATGAGCTACAGTGACATGAAGGAATTGGACCTTACTGTGTAGCTTTCTCTGAGGGTGTCTTATAGACTTTGGTGAGGAATTACTGCAGTTTGGTAGGTGGGTACACCTCTGTGTGTGTGCACACGCATACGGGGTGGGGGCAGTGCCATCATCTATTTTGTCTCTTGGAGTTAAGGCACCACTGTCTGGGAAGGCTGCCAAAGGCCCAGGGCCAAAGCTGCCCCTGGAAGAGATTGTATGGGGCAAAAGAACAAGCACTTGGCTAAGTTTAAAAATAACCTCCCTGTGACTCACTCTTCTTATCTATACTTGGGAATAGTACTATATAATAACAAAGTAATAATAATAGAATAATAATTCTACTCATAGAATTGTTGTAAAGATGAGCTAAAGCACATAGGAAGCTCAGACTGGTGTCACATGCTGAGTCATCACTAAATATCAGGTATTATTGTTATGTTATTAATCAAAGGTTCTGAGTTCTAATCCTAGCTCTTCACTAACCACCTAGTACAGTTCTCACGTCCTTGCATTTCAGCCTCCTCAACTGTAAAATGTGACAAATCTACTGGCTTTCTTTCCTCTATCAAAATCTTAGATAATGAATGTGAGAAAATATACAGGAAAATAAAGTACTAGAAGAATGGTATACATACATGTACTTTAGTCTCTGTTTCTCTGAGACTTTTTGAGGTATCCTTACTATACTCTGTATAATGCCAGATGTGACAATGATACATTGCATCAGGAGCTACTGACTAAAGATACCTCCTACGGTCAGTTGGACAGCATGGAAACTAGCTCTCCAAACAGTGAGGGGCATACAGAAATATACAGGTAATGGCATAAATCCACATGACATGGGGAAAATGCCTAGAGTTCCACTATTGAAAAGCACCACGTCCATGAAAGCATCTAGAACACGGAGACTGGAGAAAAACCGCAGCTGTGCCAGAAGCAGAGATATCAGAGTTAAAGGCCATACACACATGCTGTGTCCTGAAATGAGGGGTCTGGCAGGGACAGGAATACTCTGGTGGCTCATGCAATGCGAAACAGAGGCGCTTTCTAATCACAGGAAGCAGTCAAGACGGCCTCCGACACGCAGTCGAGAGGGTTCTTACCTTTTTGACATCCCTGACCAAGTGGTACAATGTGTTTGAGGGCCCATGTCTCTGAAAACAATAAAGAAGAATCAAATGGTTTTGCTAGTCGGGCTCTCACTGGCAAGGCAAGAAGGATCTGGAAGGAAGGGTCTGGCTGGTGAGGGACAGTCATTAAGATGAACCTTGTTGTAGTTGCTCAGTTGTACCTGCCTTTTCTGAAGAAACACACTGGCAGATTTTTGGATTGTGGTTCCTCAAGAGAAAGCATTTGAGGCTCTAGGCTCAAACTTTATAGAGGAAGCCATCCATGCTGTTGACAGATAAACCAAGACATCATTTAAGGGGCTGGTTGTGCAGTAGGGAGCATGGGGAAAAAGGGACCAGTGTATTGCACTGGAAATGCACTTTAGCACATTGCCAGTTGCATCTTGTTTATCACCCATGTTAAATGAGAAATTATCTAAAGTAGGGGTTGGCAAACTTTTTTTTTTGTAAATAGCCAGGTAGTTGGTATTGTAGACTTTGTGGGCCATGCAGTCTTCATGGTGACTGTTCAACTCAGCTGTTGTGCAGAAGCAGCCAGAGACAATCCCTACACAAATGAGGTTGCCTATGATTCAGTAAAACTTTATTGGTGGACATAAAAAAGAGTAAAATTTCAAAAAATTTGAATGTCACAAAATATCATTCCTCTTTTGATTTTTTCCAACTGCTGAAAAATGTAAAAAACCATTCTTGTAGGCCATACAAAAATAGGTGGTGAGCTTGGTTTGGCCCTTGGATGGTAGTTAGCTAAAATCTGGTCTAAAGAAAAGGCCACAGGAAGTTTGGGAAAAAGAGAGGCTTAAGAAAGATGTATGCTTGCTTAAGGTAAGAATAATATGAAATGGTTTGCCATCCAATTGTTTTCCAGGAATAGGAATGTTAGCTACAATATAGAATGCCTAATTAAATTTGAATTCCAGATAGATGGTGAATAACTTCTAATACAAATGTGTCTCATGCAGTACTTGGGATGCATTTATATTAAAAATTATTTGTTTATCTTAAATTTAAATGTAACTGGGCAGCTTGTATTTTTATTTGCTAAAGTTGGCCACCCTATTAGGGGATCTCAAAACTGATCTGGCAAAGCCCTGAGCATAGGTGAAGCATGGTCAAGGACTGAGACAATGCCCCTCTACTTCCTCAGCAACCGGCTGCTTTACGCAGACATACTCATCAGAACTCTTTTTCCACGGAGGGATGGGGTAGTGTGTAGGGATTAAACATGCAGACACTGGAGTCAGGGTGCCTGGCTCCCAACTTGGCTCTGCTGCTTACTAGCTGTGACCATGGGCAAGCTACTTAACTGTGACTCAGTATTGCCATCTCTAAAATGAGGATAACATTTCCACTTATCTGGGAGACGTGTTGTGAAGATTAAATGGTAAAATATTTATGAAGCTACTAAAATGCTTAGCACTCAGTAAATATTAGCTATGACTATTATTGAGGCCATTCACTGCATCATAATCCTTATCAACAGAGTTCTCCAGGGAAACATCGCCAGTTGATTGGAGTGATAAAATCTATTGGCCATCTAGAACTTTCTTATTTCTTGACAATCATTGGAATAAATCACTCTACTCCCTTGATTCTCTAATTGATAGGCAAGTCATTCAACTCTATGCTTTATTTTTTACTTAACTAAAAACCCATCATTCTACCCCCGGCAGATTTATTGAGATATAATTGATATAACATTGTGTAAGTTTAATGTATAAAATGATTTGATACTTGTATGTATTGACAGTGAAGTGTTTATCACAGTAAGTTCAGTTACCACATCTTTCACCTCCCATAGTTACCATTTTGTTGTTGTTAAGTTGAGATCATTAAAGCTCTACTCTCTAGGCAACTTTCAAATAAATAATGCAACATTGTTAACTATAGTCACCATGCTGTACCTTGGATCCTTGGAACTTATTCATTCTATAATTAAAAGTTTGTGCCCATTGGCCAATACCTCAGTTTTTCTGAGGAACCTCCACAGTGTTTCTTATATTGGTTCCCTTGTCATGTGTTAGTGGGCCATATATGCATGAGTTTATTTCTGGACTCCTGACTCTGTCCCATTGTTCTATATGTCAGTTTTTATGTCAATACCCACTGTTCTGATTACTATAGCTTTGTAATAAGCTATAGTAATATTACTATAGCTTTGAAATAAGGAAGTGTGAAGCCTCCACCTTTATTCGTCTTTCTCAAGATTCCTTTGCTATTCAGGGTCTTTTGTATTTCCATGCAAATTTTAAGATTGCTTTTTCTATTTCCGTAAAGAAATTCCATTGGGATTTTACAGGAATTACACTGAATCTATAGATGGCTTTGGATAGTATAGACATTTTAACAATATTAACTAACACTTCTAACCCAAGTACACATGATATCTTTTTATTTGTAACCTCTTCAATTTCTTTCATTACAGTTTTATAGTTTTTGGTGTATGGTCTTTCAATTCGTTGGTTAAATTTATTGACTTAAACTCTCAAGTAATTTATTGTTTTTGATGCTATGGTAAATGAGATTGCTTTACTTTTTTCAAATAGTTCATTGTTAATGTGTAGAAATACAACAGATTTTTGTATGTTGATTTTGCATCCTGAAACCTTACTGAATTCATTTACTAGTTCAATAGATTTTTGATGAAGTCTATAGAATTTTTTTTTACTGGTAAAATAAAATTTAATTATGCTGAGGCTATGCCACACTGTCTCCTTATCTCAAGAAAAAAAATGTCCCTTTTAGATGTGGATAAACAGTAAAATTCATCAAGGAGGACTGTTTTTTCCTCCTTATAGAAGTTTCTTATATTCAAAACATAATTAAAAAATGTTTTAGCTACCAAAACATGTGTTTAGCATGAATGGTTAATACAGGAAAACTCTGACCCAAAGTAATCTCACATGTTTGCATTTAAGTGTTACTTAGGAACGAAGAAGTAATTTCAGGGATTTTTACTGCTGAATTCCCAGCCAAAAGTTAATTTCCTGTGCTAAATAGAACATAAACAGAGACATTAAAAAAGTGATCATATTAGGCTCAAATTTGCCAGCCTAGTTTTAGCCCAGGACAACCAGAAATAGATAGATACAGTGAGCAACTAGCCACTAACTGAACTGATTTCCTTTCCTGGTGGGTTTTTTTTTTTTTTTGGAATGAATAATGCAAATAAGGTGTCAAAGTACCCATGAAACATTTGGGGAAAATATCTCATTTTCTTCTTAACCAAGTCAGTTAGCCACTGGCTAGTCATCTGCCTCAGTTAGCTCTCTAGATTCTTGTGTGCTTCTTTACCTTCTCTGAGAGAAGAAACCTTAAAACCTTACATCAGTCTTTCTTTCAAAAGTAAGATGCCAGATGAATATTTTTTCCACTCAACACTCCTGGAAACAAGTGTCCCCCAGACATTCAGTAATGAATGAGTACGCAAACAACATTTGGATATTAGTGCCATGGTTCAAGAGTTTCCTGCAAACTACCTTTAACAAGTTTGCACTGGCAGCAGGCATCAGGATGTGCTAACTCTGGCATCATAAGTTTTATGTGCAGCACTACACATCTGCTGCTGTCACTCAGCCAATATTTAGCCACATGAGTAGAAAGGCTGAACAAAAACATAGTTCTGATAAAGGCGGCATTCATAAGTCCAATGTAGTTTAAATTCGTTGTTTTCACAATCAAGGGCTGCCATTTGGGACTATTTTGTTAATGATTATAAACAGGAATTATTTAGAAGAGAAAATACTTCACTGTTCTTTACTGTTGTATGAGTGTCTTCTATATATAATATACCCTCAAAAAGCCATTTTTAAAATCAGTGTTTCAAATAAAAGTGAAGCTATGTTACTGTTCAGCAGCTCCATTCAAATAAACATTGGTACTTCATTCTAAATAAAATACTGTAGCTGAGGTAAAAGCTTAGAAATCTGTATTCTAGCTGTGTAAAACAAACACCTCGCTCTGCGTACTTTCAGACTGCCACTCTGCTTTAGCAACATGAGTCCACCACATCTTCAATAGGTAAAGCACTATGCTGAGAATATAAAAAGTCATAAAAGGCAACTAGAAAAGATTAAATCTTGGTAGGCATGTCAGCTTTCTTTTAATAAAAACAAAAATAGTCATTGCCATCTAGTTAAATGTCTCTTTTGTTATAAAGTGTTTCTAGTTATTGAAAAAGGGCTCTTAAAAAACCCAATGGCCTGTATCTTAATACCCTGCCCCCTCTTGCCCTAATACACATTGGAGGAAAGAATAATTTAATGTGCAAATTGCCAAAACAAATGTGGAGGAGAGGGGACTTCTTGAAATGGTGTGCTCAGTCAGTTCTTGGATTTTTCTTTTACAATATCAACTTCTGTCCCAATAACATAAAATATGTACAACATGTTTAATAATATGCAATATGCAAAGCTTTGTGTTGCTGTCAGCCACTGTATACCCACCCACCCTCCTCATTCACCAATGTACCTCTGCTAAACACAATTATATCGTTAAGCCTGTTAGTTTGAAAAAAATCTTCAGTTTGTTAAAACTGGAAGATCTTTGTATAGGGGCTCCATTCATTTGACTCAAGGTTATAGGCATCTATGGTATTCAGAAATTCATTGCCATCAAATGTCCCCACTGCATAAATGGTGTTCCCTACAGCTGCAATCTGGGCACAGTCCTTGGTGAAGTCATATTTCCCATCATCTTCTGCTCATTTGCAGTTGGATCATACATCTCCACACAGCTGATGATGTGGAACCATCAAAGTCACCATCCACAAATAGGTTTCTGTCCAGAACAGCTACTCCAGCTCCTCTCCTAGACACATTCATGGGTGCAATTAAAGTCCAGGTGTTATTTACAGGAACCAAATATTCTATGGTGCTCAGGCAATTCCAAGACTCTGTACCTCCAATCATATACGAATAACCACCAAGCTCACAGACTGCAGACTGGTGTCTATGAGCATTTAGAGGAGCACAGCTTGTCCATGACTTTGTTATAAGATCAGAAACGTCACAATTTTTCTGTCCTTTTTGACTATGTGGACCAGAGCCACCAAGGATATATAATTTCCCATTCAGAGCACACACCCCTGCATTACAATGGTTAGTTCTCAATTCTGGAACAGGAATCCAGTCCTCTATGTATGGACCACACATCTCTATACAACTCAGGTCATCTGAGTGGCCATTCGATCAAGCAACCACCTAGAGTTGGCCCATCAGTATGGCCATCTGAAATTGGACTCTTTGTGTTCTCATGGGAGCAAGGGAGGACCAATGATCTGTATGTGGACCATAGCACTCAACCATTCAAAGACATTCCTCTCTGTTACAGCCACCTGCAGCTGTGAGTTTGCTATCCATCTCTGCTGTCCCCAGACCAGACCATGCATAATGCATAGGTGACATGGCTTTTCTATTAGCTCGTCTGGTTGCATCTCAGAGCTTAAACTTTTAGTTAGTTTTGGAATACTTGTTGGTGAGCTCTGTGGGCTGTTTTACCTGTGAAGAAGATGACACAGAATATATCATCCATCATAGCCAGGCAAAAGTAAGTGTTATTTGAAGTCTTTTCTGGGGCAATGATTTTCCACTCATGCTTAGGGCTTTGTACCATGGCATTTGGAGAAGAGACACATCCAGTGGAACTGCTACTTATGTGCTGAAGGCCATTCTCACATGGTGGCTTCTTCTGCACAAACTGAATGTGGTCATTGTCACTGCCAGACACCTCAGCCTGTCCATCTAGTAGGTTCCCATCCAGCAGCTTGTGATCAGCTGAGTAGTGCAAGGTTTGACATCACCTCATCCAGAGTGTCTCCATTCTCCCAGATGCTACACTGCGCCCAGCTGATTACCTTTGTGTCCAATTTGCCATTGCTGGGCAAGCAAACATTATCTTTAAGCATTGCATCCAACTTTAGCTGTGGAAGTTTAAGAAATTCTTCCTCTTCTCAAATTTGTAACAAACGCTCCTGAATATAAATGTCAAGCTTATTAAACAAATGTGAGTCTCTCATATAACTAGCAAAGTTTTGGTAAGAGATGGAGCTGGTAACATCCATTTTAGACAGTAAATAATTGGCACAAACCTTCTCTACTTAGTCCATCTTCAGCTTTTTGGCTGCATAATAAACATCTTTTACTAATTCCTCATCAGCTTTCAACTGTGCAGTGTAGGCATAGTTCAACAAGACTTCAACAGCTTCTGGGTTGAGATCATCAAAGTTAACATGAGAAACCCTCTGAGGATCAGTCTCATTATTAGAGATTTCAGATAAATAGGGACTGCAGCGAGCCAGGACTGCTCTGTGAGCTACCATCTCAAGGCCACACACCTGAAATCCAATGTCACAGAACTGGCCACTTTTCCTCAGGGTGTTTAATTTGGCAATAGAAGACTCAATGAAATTTTCATCTTCAAACCTTAAATATTCATGGGGCATCATTTTTCCTTATAAATTTGGCTACATTATACTGGTGAGAAATGTCCTTCTGGGACATCTTAAATAATCCAAGACAAAGTAGTGTTAAAACTCAGCCCTTTATTGAGGTATGAAGATGGTTGAAGTGAAGGTGGAGGTGTCTTAAGATCCAATGGTGATTCCAAAACTATCAGGCTTGGGAAGGATGCAATCAAGTTTTTAAAAGCTATAGACATGAATTTCTTCCATGGTAACCATGTATCACATAATCTGGTCCCTCTCTGAAGAGAGGGAAGATCTCAACTCTGTAGCTTCGGTGGGGAGCAGCAGGAAGCAGGCAGGCCCAGGCCCCATAGAAAGCATCTCAAGGCCTCAGAGGCGGGTAAGCCATCGAGTGGGAGGATGAGCAGTCAGTCCACGGAGGTTGCTAGGAGAGGGGGATGCACCGAGTTTTCATTGTTCGCGGGGACTGGCTCCTCGCTCGCGGGCACTGCAGCAGGCAGAGCCACTGTGCCCAGCAGTACCCAGCAACTGACCTTCACGCGCGGGTTTCAGAGACACTGCCGCTGCTGCCGCCTGCTCGCGCCTTCTACAATTTTCTATACACAACCTTATGTTATCAGAAAACAGAGACAGTTTTACTTCTTCCCTTTCCAATTTGGATGCTTCTATATGTTCTTCTTGCTGAATTGCTCTAGCTGGGACTTCCAGTTGCTGTGTTGAATAGGAGTGGTGAGAGTGGGCGCCACTGTCTTGGCTCTGAGCTCAGAGGGAAAGCTTTCAGCCTTTCACTATTGAGCATGATATGAGCTGTAGGTTTGTCATATGTAGCCTTGTACTGTGTTGAGCTGTGCTTCTTCTAAACACAATTCGTGGAGAGTTTTCATTGTGAACAGATGCTACATTTTGTCAAATACTTTTTCTGAATCTATTGATATGATCATGTGATTTTTATCTTTCATTCTGTTAATGTGATATAACACTTATTGATTTGCATGTGTCAAACTATCCTTGTATCTAGAAATGAATCTTACTTGATCATGGTGTATTACCTTCTTAATGTGCTGTTGAATTTGGTTTGCTAGTATTATGTGAAGTATTTTTGCATTGATAGCTATCAGAGATCATGGACTATAGTTTTCTTTTCTTGTAGTGTCCTTATTTAGCTTTGGTATCAGGGTAATGCTGGCCTCATAAAATAATTTTGGGAGTGTTCTCTCCTCTTCAAATTTTCTTGAAGAGTTGGAAAAAAATGGGGTTAGTCCTGTAAATGTTTTGTAACATTTACCTGGCCCTGGTTTTTTCTTTGTTGGAAGGTTTTTGATTTACTAATTCAATCTCCTTATTTGTTATTAATCTGTTCAAATTATTTATTTCTTTATGATTCAGACTTGGTAGATTGTACATTTCTAGGAATGTATTTATTTCTTCTATGGCTAATTGTTAATTTTTTTTAGGGATAGAAAGTTGAACCTCCTATTCCACAATTTTGATCTATTATTCTTACCAAAAGTCTCAGTATGCTGAATCCCCCTAAAAAATCTGCAGAGAAAACAGAAACCTGGAACCACTCTGATAAACTGTTTTCGACTTCCATCAGTGGGAATAAGATAAAGCCAGGGTGCCACCATCTAACACCTAAAACTGTCTGGGAATAGGTTAATGAACTTTGCCTCATTAGTACTCTGCGTGGTGGGATAGAGGAGCGTTCTGACAAATGAAGGCAATGATAATCTCTAAGACAGAAGCTTTGGTTCAGTAGTAGCTTATTTCTTTACTTAGGAGATTTGTGACCTTGAATTTACCCTTTGGCCTTAGTTTTCTCATGTGTAAAATAGGGGAATGCAGTATCTACATTGTAAATGTCTCTGGATTTTAGTGAGTGTCAGCTCAGAGCTAATGTACTGAATTCATTGAATACTCACCAAAACTTCATAAATACTTTTTCTTATGACTACTCCTTGGTATCCCTAGTGAAGGAATTAAAAAATCACTACAAAACAACAAAAAATACTTTTGGGTAACCCAAAACAAGAGGTTTTTATATTTTATTCCATTGTAGTGGAAAAGGAAACCGCTTCATAGTTCTGAGGATAACAGGGTGGTGCAGGATAGTTAATTTGCCCCCTTTTGATGCTTGGTGTTAAATCACTCCTCCTCTGCTGATTGCTTCAGACACCCTCTGGGCTTACAAATAAACTGTGTTCTAATATCTATATGCCGGTGGTTTGGTATCAGAATCTGAGAATGTTACCTTTTGGTGATCACACAACTTTCTGCCTTAGATGCTGACAACTGAGCAGTTAAAACAAGTGGAAACTTGGTGACTTGCTCTTTCTTGTCTACACAGGTGTAAGGGAACACTTGTGAACAATGAGCCATGCATTCGGAGGGCAGGAAGGAGATTCACAGGCATGTAGGGGACAGGAGAAGATAAAACAAAAAATGTAGAGGAAATAAAAAGTGCCTTAGCTCGGTCCTACCGTATTGTACAATTCCTCTAGTCTGGAGATGGTGAGAAAACGGTGCATGCTTACTCCATTCTCTATGAGTAATTTCACAAAATCCACTCTGTCCAGAACTAGGGCATCCAACATGGCTTGTTCCAGAGACCCCACCTGCAAATCAAGTCACTGAGTTAGTCTGCCCCAGGCTCCAGAGAGGCAGCTCTTCTGCATTCATCTGAACAGTTTAAAAATGGGTGCCTTTGACATCTGGTAAACCTTCAGCACGTCTAAGAACATGCTAGCAAGACTGTCCTAACTCTACTTTTGGGGCAGCTACAATCTCTCCTGTGTTTTGGGGCCTACCTTTGCAGATAGAATTCAAGGGTTTCTATTTGCTAAAGTTGTTTCCTTCTTGAACATCAATCCCAATCTCTCTCTCTCTTTCCTCCTCATCCTGAGAAGGTACAAAGATTCACAAGGCTCTTTCTCTCCCAACTCATTGACCAAACTTCTGCAACACCAGCAAAGTGCTAAAGTGGATACTTTGCTGTATCTGTTTTCATCTTTTTTAGGCTCTGAATTAGACCCTGGCTGGCTTGAGAAGAAGGACCCTTGTAAACAACAAAAAGGAGGCTGTTTTATTTATTTTTTTTAGTTAAGTGACACTACCATGCCTTTGTCTCACCCATTCCCCCCTGAAGACACAGCAAGTATTTAGGTCCTTTGGCCTGTTTACCAGGGTTTTATTTAATTCCTTTTATAAAAATTTCCCAGGGTCCAGACTCCTTGAAAAATCTTTCCACACTAGCAAGGCACTAGTGACACTAAATGAGCAGAGGCTCTCTGGGGAAAGGAAGGGCTGAAAACGACCTGGACAGTGCTTCCAGGCAACGAAATCCAATTTCAGGGTGCTGATCACCTCCTGGAGATATCTGCCTGCGTCACCCAATGGCCAATTTTCCGTTTTTATTTTCGGTAGTTGATTGAGGGAAACAAACCAAGAACAGTTATATAAAGCTTTGGTTTCCTTTGCGCTGTTGTTGGGGACAGGGAAGACCTGTGCTCAGCCCCAGGACCAGATGGCGCCCGCACGGGAAGCCTGCTGGTGCTGCATCTGACATGCGATCCAGCCGCATCCCAGCACGGGCGCCACCGCTTGGGAGCAGCAACCTCAAAGACAACCGGAAACAAATCGCTAATTCCAATCCTTCCTTCATTTTAATTAATACAACTTTGTATTACACATACTTTAAAAAGACACTTAAAAGAAATGGCATCCTTTGCTGCTGAAATTGCTATCAAAGGCCACTCAGAGAGATGGAAATGTTTGGAACACTTCAAGTTGTGCTTAGTCGTGTGTTCCACCAGGTGGCAGTGATTTCCTAAATCATTTCCATCTCAAAGCAAAGGCAGCATTTCCGACCTGCTCTCAGAGGCTGCTGCTTCTTTTTTTTTCAAATGCTTTTTAAAAATTATATTTTATTGTTTATTTACAGTTGTCTCAGTTTCCCCCCTTTAACCTCTTTTACCCAGCTGCCCGCCTCCACTCCCTCCAGCAATCCCCACACCGTTGTCCATGTCCATTGGCCATGCATGTAAGTTCTTTGGCTACTCCATGTCCTACGCTGTACTTCGCATCCCCATGGCTGTTTCGTAACTACCTATCTGTACTTCTCAATCCCTTCACCTTTTTCACCCATTGCCCTGACCCACCTCCCATCTGGCAACCATCAAAATGTTTTTTGTATCTATGATTCTGTTTCTGTTCCACTTGTTTATTTTGTTTTTTAGATTCAATCATCGATAGATATGTATTTATTGACATTTTACTGCTCTTCTTCTTATGAAAGAAAACCCTTTAACATTTCATATAAACACCCTTGCCCGAGCAAGTGGGCTTTTCAGGGGTGACAACATATACTCTACCGGCCACTGTTGCCCATAAATAAAGATCTGGCTGCGAGCGATGTCGACTCTGTTCCATGCTAAGGCCAAGCTCAGCTGGTCTGGGGCAGAGGCATTGGCTCCTGTAGACAAGAAGGGGAGAAGTGTGGGATAGAAAAAATAACAAGGAGTTATTATACCAAGAAGACCCACTCCATCCCTCTGGCACCAATGCCTCTCTTCCTGCAGAGCAGACTCAGTTGTGTGGGAGCGTTTCTCAGACTCAGCACTACTGGCATGTCAGGCAGGATGACCCTTTATCATGGGGACCACCCTGTAGTTGTGGAATATTTAGCAGCGTCTTTGGACTGGACCCAATAGCACTGACAATAGCACCTCCTTCCAAAGTCATGACAATTAAAAATGTCTATAGACATTGCTAAATGCCCCCAGAGATGAGGGGAGACAAAATCAGCCATTAAAAAACACTGCTTAACAGTCTTAAAAAAATTAATATATTGCTATACAAATTTTGTATTAGTTTCAGGTGTACAATATAGTGATTTGATGTTTTTATACGTTACAATGTGATCACCCCACAAATTCTACTAATCACCTATCACCATGCAAACTTATCACAATATTATTGACTATATTACCCTTTATCTTTTTCACCCCTCCCCTACCCTCAGCCCTGGTAATCATCATTTTGGTTTCTGTTTCTATGAGTCTGTCTTTGTTTTGTTTTGTTTGTTCATTTGTTTTGTTTTATTTTGTTGATTGCACATATAAGTGAAACCATTTGGTATTTGTCTCTGACTGACTTATTTCACATAGCATAATACCCTCTACATCCACCCATGGTGTCACAAATGGCAAAATTTCATTCTTTTTATATTGCTGCATAATATTCCATTGTATATATGTACCACATCTTCTTTATCCATTCATCTATTGGTGAACACCTAGGTTGCATCCATGCCTTGGCTATTGTAAGTAATGCTGCAATGAACATAGGGATGCATATATCTTTTTGAATTAGTGTGTGTGTGTGTGTGTGTGTGTGATAAATACCCTGAAATGGAATTGCTGGGATGTATGGTAGACCTCTTTTTAGTTTTTTGGGGGATCTTCATACTGCATTCCATAATGGCCACACCAGTTTACATTCCCATTAACAGTGCCCAAGGGTTCCCTTTATTCCACACCCTCACCAACACTTGGCTACTCATTGACTGTTTGATAACAGCCATTCTCAAATGGCATTTCTGATTGTAGTGTACATGCATATTGGGTCAGTGTAAACCACATACTTATAGTAAGTTAATTAGTGTTTGGAATGATGAATATTAATTCAATTTACATAGGGATTTTTCCATAAAAATATATTTCTTATCTCTTCAGATAACAACAGGATTGCAAACTTACACTAGGGTTACTGGTATAAGCAAGTGTTAATGTATTACATTCTTAGAACACATGAACCAACTATGAGGTGCCATTATCACCATTTTACAGATGAGAAAACTGAGGCACAAAAACTTGTCCAAGGACAAGTTTGGGAAGTGCCAGAGATGAGATTCAAAGCCAGGCAGTCTGGTTTCAGAGCATATTTTTTTTTGATTCATAGAAACGTAGAAAATTTTATTGAACCCATGATATGCACCACACAAAGTGAAGCTGGCAAACAGGCTAGGCTTTTCTGTCCTCAATCACAAAACATCCCACAGCTGTGCTAATGAAAAAAAGCTACAATATCCTCTAATGCTGGATGGTTGGGGCCAAAATTGATAAAATGTTACCTAAAATTCATGTATGAGCTCCTTCGATTCTTTTTATTTTTCATTGGTCAAGACATTTGGGCTTGGAGATATATTTATTTATCCAGTTTTATTAAGACAAATTTGACATATAACATTGTATTAGTTTTATACAATAGTGTATAAATTATTGTATACTTATTGTAAACTATATACAATATTGTAAACAAGTCATATATTTTTATCATAATGATTTGATATATGTGTATATTGTGAAATTATTACCACAGTAAGTTTAGTCACTCAGAGTTACAATTTTTTTCATGTGATGAGAACTTTTAAGATCTGTCTTAGCAACTTTCAGATATACCATACAATATTATTTACTATAGTCACTGTGCTGCAGACGACATCTTCAGGGCTTGACCTTTGGTCGCCTTTACCCATTTTGCCAGCTCCAGACCCCCACTGCCTTGCTGAAATCTCGATGTCCTTGTAACTACATGGCCCCTGGTGTTGAGAAAGGGCACCAGGAGAAGCCTTACAGGAAGAGCTGGGTGCCCAGATGGTTTCATTTGCTCAACAAATTTTTACTAAGCTCCAATTTTCTGCCAGCCTTCCTTGTGGGCACTGGGAAGACAAGGTTGGACCAAAGTTTCTACCCTCAAAGAGGAGAAAAATAACCACCCACTTCTCATACACACACACACACACACACACACACACACACCCAAATGTCTTTGTTGTTACTGTTGTCTTCTGTTGAGTCCTCCTTTAGGTTCTATTACTGAATCCCTGTTTGGATGAAGTCTTTCCAAGGCTATCTAATAGTCTATATCAGGTTCTGAAGTGACTACAGTTATTTCCTTTGGAAAAGTGAAGATTGGGGTTCTCAGTTTGGCTCCATCCACTCCACCCCGCCAGCCTCATTCACTCAACCAGTTCATGTCTATTTCCACCTCTCTCACAGTCATAAATAGGAATTCTCCACTCTAAAGTCATGCTGTAAAAATGCACACTGATAAAACAGTGATTTAGTGATACTTATTTTGTAAAAGAATTTCCTTCACTAAAGTATTTCTCACTCTTTTTTAATTTTTATAATCCTCACCTGATGATATGTTCACTAATTTTAGAGAGCAAGGAAGGAAGGGAGGGAGGAAGGGGGGAGAGAGAGAGAGAGAGAGAGAGAGAGAGAGAGAGAGAGAGAGAGAGATCAGTTACCCCCCATGCATGCCCTGTCTGGGGATGAACCTGCAAGTCAGCTATTTGCCCTGCCTGGAATGAACTTAAAACTTTCTGGTGTACGTATGGGGTGATGCTCCAACCAACTTAGCCACCCAGCCAGGGCATTATTTCTTATTCTTAATTAGGAATTTATAAATACATTTAAACTATGATGTAATGCAAAAGGTAAAGTTTGTAAATATGCTTTAAGGAAGTTATTGATTGGATAAAATGTTGGGCACTTGTGTGGGCAGAATAAACCCTGTTTGGATATTCTTAGATCCTGTTTCTTTGGAGACCTTGTTTTCCAGTATTAGTAAGATTTTAAAAAGGTATCTTCTTAAGTTTAAATTCCCCTGAAAAAATAATTGGCATATTATTTAGTTTGTATCTCTGTAGGCTGTTTATGTGATATAATAGGCTTTGGCATTCTGAAATGCAGAGGTGCATTAACATTTCTTCTAAACCCAGGAGTCTCTTTCATTGGTGTCTTTTTAGCATTTTGTTTATACTTTTTATGTTATGGTATACTATGGTGTAGTATGGTATATACTGCTACCATATATAGGTCTTTGAAGACTTTGTAGTTCTTAAGAGGTCATTTATCCCTGATATTAAGAATGATACATGTTGGCCTCCTGGAGGACCGAATGAGATACCAGCCAGATGGCAGCTGCCTGGCTCAGCTCTGGTCCATGTCAGGTTGCCCTTTCCAGGAGGGCAGATGTATGGTGGGTGTGAAGAGGGGCTGTAACAACTTCTTTGGGTAGAAGAGAAGGGCACTGAGCTCACTTATTACCTGTGGGGGCTTGGAAGATTTACTTATCCTCTCCAAGATTTAGTTTCTTCATGTATAAAACAAGATCAATAACACCATCTTTAAGGGGTTGCTTTGGAGGCTAAATAGAATAATAGATGGGAAAATCGCTTTGTTAAATTGAAGTATTATGCAAGTATATTTAGTATTTTACATATTTCTGACCATAAATTTACCATATTAATAATACTAATTTAGTAAATTTATCAGATTAATAATGTCACCACTATTCTGGAAGGTGAACAGTTACCAGCCAGACTATTATTACGGTTTTTGCTGTGGTTGATGTGAATGATTAGGTGTCACTGAATTTTCATAAAAGGAATACTTCTTGTACACTGAAATAGTAATTTCCAGAATTAAGTACTGACAGTCCCTAAACCACTCACTGCTTATACACATGTTGGAACTGTCAATGGGCATCAGAAGTAGTTCTCTGACAGACCTTGGGGAGTCGATGAAATGCTACCTTCTATTAAAGTTTTTTTTTTATTTAAAAAGTTTTAAAAAGATTTTCTTTATTTATTTTTTAGAGAAAAGGGAAAGGAAGGAGAAAGAGATAGAAAAAACTGTCAATGTGTGGTTGCCTCTCATGCACCCACTACTGGGCACCTGGCCCCCCAACCCAGGCATGTGCTCTGACTGGGAATCGAACTAGCAACCCTTTGGTTTGCAGGCCAGCACTCAATCCACTGAGCTACACCAGCCAGGGCTTTAAAAAAAATCCTTTAGACACTCCCGTAGGTGAGCTGAAGCTTGTGGGTGCTAATATATAAACAAGAAAAGGCAAATTTGTTGTGATGAAAGTTTCAATTTGGATATAAATGCTTTGCTTGGATGATAAGAATGTGACTGTTTCCTAGGAACATAAATCGGGAAGATTGATTATGCATTTATGCCTGGGCAGCCTAGGCAAGGGGCACTGGGTGTTTTCTTAGGAGCTATAATCACACTCAATTAGGACAGTGCATCGGGTGCCTCCTCAGTGGTTTAACAGGACAGTGCCCCTGGGTGTGGCACCTGCTGCCCTCTGCTCAGAGAATTGCTGCACCTTCCCTGGCCTGTCAGAGGCGGCCAAGGGCCGTTCCTCCTCTTGCACTCTATCCTGCCTGGGGTGACCACTAGACTCTTTCTCTCATGGGTCCTTACACTTCTTAACCCCTGCATCTCAGGGTGGCAGGAGGTGGGGAATAAGCTTTGTTTTGCTCTTCTCTTATTTTTTGGGTCTGAGTGTTCTGTGTAAGGTCTCACTCACTTTAAAAAACTGTTCTTAGTTTCAATTTCAGAGCTAGGATACTAGACTTTTGTGGACTAAAATGATACAAAAACCTTGCAAAGT